AAAAATACGAATTTTCATACATGCGTTGGTGGGATATGTTTGTCATATTAGATATTTAATATAAATAAAATAAAAATTTTCGCATGCATTTATATATATATATATATATATATATACATCCGAAAAAATTTTTGTTGCAAGTTGGTTTATAAGATGGTGGTTTAATTGGTTTATCTGAAAAAGCATTTAAAAGTGATTTAGATATAAAGATAATGAAATTAATTGAAAATTAAGAAGCTAAAATAAATTTTCAAAAATTTATCGATTTGAAATTTAGAAAAGCTTAACAAAGTAATATATAAAATATAAAAAACCATTAATTTTTAAAAATCTTCTAAAGTTGGTATTATCATTATGAAGATTATTGATTGGAAGTAATAATCTTTATGGTAAATCCAAAGAAAATGAATTCAAAGAAAGAACAAACTTTGTAAAAATATTACAAAAACACTGCTATTAGAAGTAGTAAAATTAGAGTTGTGATAGTTGTTTATTAAAACAAAGAAAAACTCTTACAACAAGAAATAGACAACTAGATTCATGGAGGTTGATGGAGTGATAGGTTTAAAAATAAATGGAACAACTAATATCTAACATCTATTAAAATATATATATATATATATATATATATATATTTCAAATATCAACATTTGACTACTTTCAGCTTTTATAGTTAAAAACATAAATAAATTTCCGGTGTTTATTACAACTAGGTAAAACTGAAACGGTACTACTAAGATTCAGATGGTATTTCAAAAATACTAAAGAATGCAGTGGGTATAGTAGATCAAGGCGTAACAGTCTCAGGTCACAGCCTTAGAATAGGTGCTATCACAGAAGGACTCAGAAAGGGTATGTCTACAACTGATCTAATGGTCGGTGCAAGACATAAAAAGGAAAAAAGTTTATTTCCTTACCTTAGATCTGAAGGCCTAGCTGGCAAGAATTTCACTAACACTCTATTTTCTCTGGACTAACCCATTGGTTTATCAACGAAATTCTTTATTGTTTTATTTGGAGAAATATGGCTAGTTGCGAGGAACGATGCAACGTTAGTATTTCGACAAATTGTAAACAATAAAATTGAGTTGATAAATAATTTTTATGCTCAAAAAAATTAAGAAACATGGTAAACACACCAAGCAAAATCATTGCTGAATAAAGTCAATGACCTAAAAGGCAGCATTTCCGAGCAACATACCTCATCCTTTGGATGAAGAATATGTTGAGTGAGCTTCTACCCATTGGTTTATCAACGAAATTCTTTATTGTTTTATTTGGAGAAATAATATTTATAATTTGAAAAATTTATCAAGTTAAATGTTCTTCATAGATTATAATAAAAAGAGTAACAAATTGATTAGAGACAAATGGGTTTTAGAGTCAGGTAACTGTTTCACCAAATTGGTGATTCAGTTATAGAACCTGCTTTGATTGGATAAAAATCTTTATTAGTGGAAGAGTCATTCTGACTTATCCTTATCTTTTCCTTGGAATTTACCATCGTTTCCTTGACCCTTATTGTTTTTCTTTTGAAACGGTTTCTTCTTAGAATACTTCTTGGTAATTCCCTTTGGACCTTGTTGCTGCTTGGTTGCTTTGTAGTAATGATATGTTGTTCTAATATTATGAAGTTCACTTTCGGCAGCAGTTTCGAAACTATTAGTAGAAATGTATCTGTTAAGGAATTCTCTACCAACATCGAAAGTGGAAACTTGTAAACCTTCTTTAAGGAAGAGGGCTTCAACTTTGCAAATCATTCTACAAAGTTCTGTAATCTCTGTCATGACTGTAAAATCAAGTGGAGAATTCAATGCATATTCCAACAATTCAATTTTGATTTGAGTTAACTCTACTAGTTTAGAATAACCAATACTGTTAATCTCATCCAATCTAATGTCTGGGGCAAACTTGGAAATCACATCCTTGTATTTAAGGAGCAAATATTGAATTCTTCTCTTGGTCTCCTCTTGTTTACGGTCTTTAAGTATCTCGGAGGATACTGCAGAAAGTAATAAATCATCTCCAATAGATGAAGGAACATTGTAAGAACTTCTAAGGTCTCTATAAGTTTGACGTAACCAAACTTCTAAAGATATAGCTTCTGGATTAACAAAATCATCATCTGATTCTTCTTCTCTCTCCTGAACTTTCTTAGTAAGTTCAGAGATATTTCCTGTTACGGTTCTCAAAACTCCAATCATTTCTTGCATTTGGGCTTTGATCACCATGATATCATGTTCAGATGAACTACTGGTAAAACTATCTCTACCTGAATTGGAAGAAGACGAATTGTTTGACGAAGAGGGTGCAGTTGAAGAACTATCCAACAATGTTGAATTGTTTAACAACGAACTGGAAACAACAGTTGAAATACCATCATCTAAGGCACTGTTAGATGATGAAACTGAAGTAAATTGTTTGCGCTTATTTCTATTAGCTACAGGTGACATGGCCTTTAACTTTCTAAGCTTCTTAGCAGCTTGTTGTTTTCTTGCTTTCACTAGTGTTATGAGGTATTCTACTTCAACTGCTGGGAGATCTTCATCAGATAAAGAGGAGTCAATATCTTGAGGCTTCTTAGCGACCATAGTATGACAATTTTTTTGAGCATACTTTCTATTATTAGTTTATTCAATTGTTGTTTTCAAGAAACACTACTTTATCTCAGTAAACTTCGATAAGAACAGGGTGGGACCTATCATTTCTTGCTTTAGAAGCAGAAGTTAAAATGTTTCTTGAAGACATTTAGTTTAGATAAATTTTTTGAACATGAAACTCAATAAATTTAAGCAAATAACATTCAATTTATTATAATCATTCAGAACACATACATTCTACACGTTCAACAAATTGTTTCACTCTAGAATTACAAAACACCAACTACACCAAAGAACAACAAGAAAACGAAAGACCTTAGCTCACCTTCTGCAGGTAGCGAGAAACGAGTTATTATTCTAACTCCTTCCACCTCAAATTCATCTAATAGTTCTGCTATGCCTTCAAGACACGAAAAAGAACAATCAGCAAAAGATATCACCTGACAAAGACTCAAACAACGCCAAGGTTGGTTCACAAAGTACTTCTACTCTCGCTTCTTCGATGGAATTGTTTGAGTCCAACCCATCTGAAGAGGTTTCTGGTAAAAGTGCAAGAGTTGCTGATGAACTAGATGATTGGTTTAAAAACCACATCATCGACTCTTACCAAAGAATGTTTGGTGAGTCATTGAAATCTGCAAGCGTTTGAGAGAGTGATATTCTTGATTTACCACTTATTCTTCAAGGATTTGAATTTATTTAGAATATTTCTGAGTTAAATCTAATCTTCTGCTGTTTTTACTTTTTCAGCAGATTTAATCGTCTTCTCTTGTTGTTTGGAGGTGATTTGGTTAAGTGAACCTCCTGATTTGTAGCTGTTAGAGAAGTTTTCAGCTGCTTCAAAGTCATTTTTAATGCCCATTCAAACACAGAAACTATTGAAAAAGTCAGCAAATGGGCTAGCAGAACCCTTAATTTTCGTAAGTTCCTCACTAGATACAATACTAGACAAGCTGGCTACAACTACAACAACTTCAACCAAGGACAAGGTAATACTTATCAATCCAACAATCAACAAGGCTACAGAAGATTCAATAATGTAGAGTTGCGAGGAACGATGCAACGTTAGCATTTCGACAAATTGTAAACAATAAAATTGAGTTGATAAATAATTTTATGCTCAAAAAAATTAAGTATATTGAAATGGTTCAAACACCAAGCAAAGCGAATATCTCCAACATTCGTCAAAGAGTTTCAGTAAGCAAATCTTCAACTTCTACCTACAAGTCAGGTTACATCCTAGTAACTGACAATGGTAGCTCAGCTTCACTCCCCTCTGTGGTTGACCCAACAAGCAAAACCTTGGATAACAACCAAGCTGGTTCTGAAAAGAACCTTGATGCTATTTTCAACGCCATCACTTCTTTGGGTGAGAGAATAAAGCATCTTGAAGCTGTTCCTCCTATTCTGCAACAAGCTAATCAACTTGATGAAGACCTTGATGAGGAATCCGCTGATGAGGATTTCACTGGTAAACATTGGGGTCTAACTACTATCAAGGAGATTAGACGTAACTACGAAGTTGGTGATAGACTATCCGATGGAGATGTCATAAGTTTTGTCTCAACCAAAACACTTCGTCATTACTCTTCCAATGAGGCGTTGTTGAATAGAGTTCAAGTTTTGATGGCTCGATTTGAATCTGTCATTCACAACTCTCGTAACTATCCTCGTCTACAAGAAATTCAATCCAAAGGCTTGCAAAAGATGATGGAAATGTTACATTTGAAGTCTAAATTATATTAAGCTCAATAACACAGTAACATTCTAAAATTGTTCTAATATGAATTGAATAAAATAGGCTATTCCATTTGTTGTTGGCTTTAATCTACTTGTTCTTAACGATTTCATTCCCAAGATCAAATTTCACATTATTATTTCATGAAACTTTCCCCACTCGATGTGTGCATTTATATATGTTACCAGATCAAGTTTCATTGTTTGATTTTGTAATTTCAACTAACAAATTAGCAAATCTTTGAATAGATTTGTTTCAAGTTTATTCGCAAATAATAAAACATGTCAATTACAGTTAGTAGCATTGTCATTATTTATATATATCCATAATTATTCAAAAAATTCAGGTTTCGTCATCTGATCCAAGAGTTATTTAGAATTAAGGGAAAAAAAGAGTGTTAAGGACTGCCTTATATAAAAAATTAAAAAAAAAGTGAAATTTATTATTAATTTGATATTTACTAATACATGGGAAAGTTACATGATTTGGAAATTTAATTTGGGCGAGTAAATAACCAATTCTTAGTCAACCCAACCGGAACTTGACCAACACAAAAGAAAAGGAATAAATTATAATAAATATGATGTTTATTATCAATTTAAATAGTACTACTAGAAGAAACTTTTTGATTTGGTGAAGTACATGATGGGTAGTATAATGTGTATTTTCAAATTTCACACATACCTTTCCCTATCATAACTTGACCAAAAGTCATCGGACAAAATCTTTTCTGATACTATTGACCATTCCGAACAATACTATGTTGACAGATTTCCAATTTGTACAGTAGATTCCACACTGATGATGAATTTAGTGAAAATGGTGATTTTCAACTAAAATTAAATTACTGAAAATTAATTTCCACAAATACTATTATTATATCGATGGAAAATATCATTGATGATGGTTGGTAAATGATCAGATGATGGTATCACCAACATGAATTTTTCCATGATGAAAAATAATTTCTAATTTCATGATGATAATTTTCCAATAAAAAATCACTATTACTACTATTATATAGATGATGTAGAGATGACGAGCTGAAATTATTGTGGTATAAAGATGTGAAACCACTCCGTAAATCATCAAAGTACATCACGTACTAGATGTTGAAATATTTTTTCTTCAAAATCCAGTCTGGTGATGTTTGGATGTGTTAGTTATTGCTTATTCTTCAGTCAAGCAAGCCATATTAAACAAACAATTGAAAGTAAGCAGAGTCAAAGTTTCAAATATAAAAGGAAAATTCAAAAAGTAATTATGTCTCATTCATTTTATTAATGTTACTAAGCTCTCTCTCCATATTTGAATTGCCACCTTGTAGTATTAAGCGGAGAGAATCTCCCGTTTAGAATAAGAAACGCCTGAATCCCGTTCATCCCGTTGCCCGTCTCACCGTTTATTTGTATCAACTCATCTAGTTCAGCATTTGCTTTCTTAGTGCACTTTTAAATTGAATTTCAAAGATAACCAACTTTTTCAACATCTTGCACATTATAGTAATCACACTCATATCAATTAATCCATATTTTTCATTTTCAATAAAAAATCAAATTTAAACTTTCCACAGTTTACTATTTACCTGAATTGTTTGAGAAGGAAACTTCTCTAAAAAAGAAGGGTAGTTCCCCAACAGTGTTTTAATCAATTTAGTCAAATTATATCATGTCATTCTTAAATTTGAGACAGAAAGAGTGTAATCTTTGATTTTAGTGATTATTCTACAATTGAGAATTTTTAGTATTTCCCTTAATTCCATTCTTGCTCCCTCTTACTGCTGACTGTCCCATTTGACAGCTTATTACATCTGACGGATCCCGTTAGACAGGATTTACCGGCACACCGTCAATTCTTTCAAATTCTTCTTCTTATAAGCTCGGCAACAGTTCAACACTATTTCATCAATCTGAACATTAAAATTAAACAAACTATTAGCTATTAAAATCTAACTTACGATTAAATTAAATTGTTTTTTCTCACTCCAGGACCTGTTATGGACTGCTCGCGAGTTAACATAATCCTCTCCGAACAGTGAGTGCATAACAGCGTCCTTGCTTATTTCTTCTTGTTCCGAGTTCCAACTGTGCTGGCATAAATGAGTGCATAACACCACTTTTTACTGGAAATAAAAATGTTAGAAGTTTATTGTGATATTTGAGCAGTTTTTGAAGACGAATGTCTTTCCATCATTACTGAAGCTTGATTCGGAAGACTTGCTCTTTTTTGCTACAGGAGCATATTGACTTTCTTCTTCTTCATCATTGGATCTTTTAAAAGCATCTGATAAATGATCAACAACCTTCTTGCTAGCAATTTTTCTGGTTTCAGGATTGTTGTTGCTGTAGGTTTCAACCGTTTTCATATTCTTCCAATCACCATATTTCTTTCTTTCAAGATCAGTCATTGCAGCAATGGTGGAAATGATGGTACCAGCTGTTTTTCTTCCTGTGTGTCCTGTATAACGAGCAAGACCAATTTTTGTGGATGTCTTGTTGGAACGAAGGTGTTCTGGTGCTCTAGCACCAGTTCTTTCTTCAATTTGTATGTCCTCTGGACATACTTCAATAACACTTTTCAAAATATCTTGGAAGAAACTGTACATGGTGTTAATACCAACTGCTTGTTTTCCGAAATAACCACCACCCTTTTTACCAACCCATCTCCTAAATACAGGACCTTTCTTGTCTTCAATTTGATCAGTGTATTTCTTAAAAATTCTAAAGGGACATATTTCTAGAACATTGCTTTTGACAATACAACCAGTGCAGGCATCTGTCTTGGTTTTTTTGGAAGTTGGATTGGTTGCAGTTTGTGAGATATCAAAATCGATTGAATCTTCTTTGAATGTTAAATGATGAAATTGTAAACAATGAGCATCATCACATCTCTTACAGCTTATTGTGGTGAATACAAAAAAAGCCTTTTTCATAATATTTGATCCATCTTCTGGGTATTGAGAGAGAACACCAATTACTGTGCTTAATGGAATATCTTCAGCACCTGCGGTGCTGTCTACACTGTTTTTCTCTAATTCTTTGATGAAACTAGACAGAACTGAATAATTGGCAACATTCTTAATCGAAAGATTGTAATTACATGCATACAGCTTTGCAAGACTGGAGTGATATTGCCATAATGTTTGACCAGTTACTTTCTTATTCTGATGGAGGAATTGAAAATAATCTTTCAACCAACCAACCTGTAAATCTTGCAGATTTACATCTGGATTTTCAAGAGCAAAATCCTTGAGTGCCATATTGTGATTGTTGTAGTTTTTCCTTGTTTTGACTGCTTGAATACTATTTTCTCCAAGAACAAAGTTGAAAGACTGCTCCCCTGTTACAGTGAGACTATCAAACTCTTCTAGCAACAGGTCGCTGGCAAGATCATCAACCTCTTGAGACATTTTTTTGAATGAATAATATCCAGAGATCAGTGGAATATTTGTTCGTGAGAAAAAGTGCTGTTCTTACTTCGCAACAAATCGCGCAAAAATCATCCACCAGCTCGTTCGTACCTCACTCGTGGTGGAAATGTTTTGCCACTGTTGCACAGTAAAGAAAAATAACATTTTATCTTTTTCACAATTATTTTTTAAACTTTGAATTTGTGTATTGACAAAAAAATTTGTTACTGCCACCAATGGGAATTCTCTAGAATATACATGTTAACTTTGCAAGAGCTTATTTCAAAAAATCAACTCTTGACACAATTAATTGGAAAATTAATCAACTCAAATTAACAATACTGTTCAATCACTTATGACAAATATTAAAAGGTTCATCCCTATCCTCAACATAGCAAGACTGGAAAATTGTTTTTTGGCTACTTGAAATCTGCGAAGTCAGTTTTTACCAGCTGATTATTTTTAGTCGCGAGTTTTTGATGTTGTCTAGCTGGTTTTGACCATCCCAGCGCTGGGATGGTAAGCTTAAAAATTCTCCACCAGCTAGTCTTGCTATGTTACTATTCTCTTAAAATCACATAACTTTATCCAAAATGATTTCCAGTGTTTTTCCCTTCTTCATTCCAGAATTAACTGAAGAAATATCATCCACTCAACTAATCATCTCAATAATACATGTGTGTATCTCAATAATGTAATATATCCACAACACACAATGTTGAAACTTGAATAGATTGGAAGAGTAGAGTCACTTTGGGATGATTAAATTTGTTGTAGCCTCTCCACTAAGTGTTAAACCAACAACAATAATACCATCCAATAATAATCAACAATTCCTGCAATTGACGGCCCTCCAACCAGAAAGGGACAAGAAACAACGATGTGATATTACCATCAACATGTTTGTGGTGGGAATTGTGTGAGCAGATGCAAGAATATTGTAGATGAAACTTTTCTATTTTTTATCAAACTTGATGAATTTTTTCCTTGTTGAAAATTACAGTAAGTTGTTCAAAGCAATGTTTGAAGGTGAAAAGACAGGAAAGTTAATTTGATTGCTAATACAATTGAAACTCCCTTTTCAATAATTCCAGTTTCGGAAATATTTCACAAAGAATCGGATGTGCCATATCTTCCCGCTTTTTTCTAGTGCACCCTCTTTAAAAGGAAATATGTAGTTTGATTCATGGTATAAATCTTGAATTTTGCATGGATGGTTTCATATCATGTATACTATATCCTGGTCATTTTTGAATATTTAATCTTTTGTTTTAATTGAGATAATTAGTGAGTTATGAAATCATATACCTTTTTGGGAAAAGTGATTTTTCGCTCAACTACTTAATATCGAATATTGAATTTTGTGGTGGTGACTTTAACCAAGCATATCCTCTTTTAAAGAGGGAGCACTAGAAAAAAGTGGGAAAAACATTGCCACAGATATGATTTGGTGTTTGATATTTTGTAAAAGTGGGTACGATTTCCTTAGAGATATGTTGAAATACATGGTCCCTGAATCAACTTTTAGCGAAATTCCTTGTTACTATACATATTACTCGAAAGGAAAAAAGCAATGATTAATTTTGAATACAAACAAGAAGATGGATTTGCAGCAATTTCATTTGAGATTAATTTTGAACGAATGATCAAGCAATCACAAAACACATGTGCTTAACACTAAAAGAATATTTTGAAAAAAAGAATATACAAAACAAAGAAAATCAACCTTAATTTTCAAAAATATTTGATGAATACCTTGTTAAATGCCCTGAAGCGAGTGTACACTCATTTAAAAGGAGAGAGCATTCAGAAATGAAAGATATTGTTGAGAAATTACCTGAATTACCTAAAATTGCAGATTCTAAACAAAATAGAATTGCAAGGAAAGGTGTAAACGAACAATCTTGGGAAGAAGAGAGATTTAAAAGTAAGCAATGGATGATTTAATTGAAATATCAACAAAGTATACTCTTCCAAATGGAAAAAAGCTTTTTAATTTACAATAAAAACCTCCTTTGTAGAAAGAAGAATCTATTTTCAACTTTTGATCCAATTTACAAAATTTCAATCCGTATTGTTTTGTAAAAGAAAATGGCCAATTTCCGAATTATCATTGGGCAACACATTTTTGAAGATTGTGCACTTTTTATGCTAGAAAATCCTCACTTAAGGTTGGAATGTATATTCAATTCGATAGATTTATTGGGAAGATATCTCAATTAGGGATACTGTTGTTTGTTGTGATGAAATTTTTGTGCTTGGAGAGTTGTGTTACGAATCATTATGTTCAAATTATTTATTCACTCAGTTGCCACTTCTTCTTTCAAAGATTAATAGTGTGTGCAGTGTGATCAGATTTCCAGGTCTTATTGCTCTCAACCAATTTTCATTCTGCATGAATTATTACCCATAAATATTGGCAATAATTTTCAGTTAATTAATTTAAAAATACAATAATAAATAGTATTTTTATTCGTAATAATTCGCATAATTTTACCAATAAAATTGAATAAAATTTATGCGTACTAAATAAATTCGGTTTGGTAATGCGAATATGTAACTATCAACAAATATGGTGTATGTGATGTGAAATTTAATTAAAAACAGAAAAATCAAGATCTTCATGATTTCAACGAAACAATACGAAATAATTGATATTGTACATCTGCAATAGTACTAATAAAAGTTTATTAATGTTCCAAGAAGATTGACTGTGTACTTTTGGCATGAATAATGATTGGTGACTATGAATACCCGAAGTTGGTAAAAACACAAAACTAGGAAAATCTGATAATAAATATATTGTTTATTATGTATTTGAATAGTAGTGATGAAAGACATTTTTCAAGTTGGTGAAGTACAGGTTGAGATATGGTGTTGAAATATATACATGTACCTAACATTATGATAACCAATAGGGAAATGTTCGGAAGTAATTTTACCTAATATATATCGACCATGCTGAACAATACTAGATTGAAAGTTTTCTAAATTATCATATAAATCTGGTAGTGATGATGATTTTAGTGAAAAATATTGAATTTCACTAAAATATTACTATTATCAGATTTATTTCCACAAATATTACTATTGTAATGATGATAAATAACAATGATGATGGTTGGTAGTTGTTCCGATGATGATGTACCAACTTGAATGTTTCCGAATAATAAAATTATTTCCAAATCATGATGAACAATTAAATTCCAAAAATTACTATTAATACTACTATTTAAATGATGATGAGATGATGTGGTGAAATTCTTGGAGTTAATAGATGTGAAACTACTCCAAGAATCAACAGAGGCATGATGTACCTGATGTTGATCCAATATTTTTGAAATATTTTTGAAAGTTCTGTTGATTGGTTTGTTAGACAGACTATAACACAATCATTAAGGGCGTACTTGCTCATTGTTTTCGTTTTTATTGGTTAAAAAAAGTATTAAAGGAGGAGAAAGAAGATTTACCACCTGAAGTATGAACCAAGAAAGAAGAACTGAATAATGAGAAGAAATCCACCTGAAGGATGGAGTGCCATTACATGGGTGGCAGATTTGTGAAAACTGTTAGCGGGCTGGCGAATTATGGGTGAAATAGAACAAAGATATCCAAAGATGATGAACATTGAATATTAAAAGAGGTACTATTTGATAAACATCATATTTGTTATCAGATTTTCATCATGTCATTCATCCATTATCTACCAAATAATTATCTATTCCATGAGAAACATTCATTAGAAGAAGCGAGCTTTCCTCAATGAAAAAATGGTACCATTTTAAACAATTTGATATATTATTTTAATTTATTATTTACAAGTATTTTACAAGACTATTTTTTAGACTTCTTTTTCTTTAAAAAGGAAGCATCTGTCCTAAATGAGTTGCAATATTTTGAGTAACATTTGTTGCAGACATTACCACAAATTAGCTTATTATTTTGCAAAGCTCGTCGGTATTTAGGTAATGTGTGTGGGGACACTGTATGAATGGTGTTGGTTTCCTCAAGCTCTGCGGAACAACCAACACATAATGAATCCAGTAGAGCTTTCACAGTATCATAATCACCAGGTTTATCCTCACCAATAAGTTCAGTAACATATTTACCATTTTTCTTTTGTGGAGAAATTATGCCAATATATTCCTGTGGAATGAGATTTTGTGAATTGTTTAAGTGGTTGGAGCAACACACTCTAATAATGGTTTTCACATAATAATTACGACCATACCATGTCTTGGTTTCAGTTTCACGAACCTTGAATACCAATAGTTCAATACCACAGACTGGAATATGTTCTACTCTACCAGTTCTATTAATGTCTAATACACTCATGTAATAGTGAGATACATGAGAAAAGAAGAAGTTGAGTCTCACTTTTTCTGCATCAATGACTGCATTGACCAAAAAATTATTCTTGGTTGTTCTTATGGAGTCTCTATCAAACATGGGTGTGACAGCTGCCAATCTTTGGAGCTTAGTTTATTCCAAGGTATTTGAAATTATCAAAATTAATATTTTCAAAGCTTTCAGGGTCAATACAAGAGCTCAATGTAATGACGAATACTTCGAAATCTTGAAGTACGTGCATAACATAGGAGGCCCATGTGGGTGTAAGAACAAGTTTCTGCCCCTCTTCGGCAATCTCTTGTAACATCACTGGAACTGAATTGTCACTGGTTGATTCTTTTTCAATTAACAGTGGTTGAGTCCATTTGAATTCTCAACCATACGCATCAAGCCTTGAATGATGCAACTAGCACCTGCCTTTGGAGGGAAGAAGATGGAAAACTTTTCCAACTTCTTTAACTTGAATTCTTCCTTGAAATACTTTCTTCTTTCCTCTACAAATTTGGAAATGTAAGAGTGTGAAATTATTTTCTTAATAATCTCTCTAAAGTATTGGCAATGAATGAAAGCACCTACAAAGCAAACCTTTGTAACTGAATTTTCAAAAATTACCAACAACAAAGGTTGTAATAATTTCTCAAACTCATTATAAATCTTTTCTTGAATATCAGCAATACCGTCAACAGGATTGGAATCTAGTGAGTCGAATTGCTTATTTAGTAGTTTGGTGGCTTCTTGAAAAGTTAAATTCTTCTCTCTCATGATCAAATTTTGAATCCATGAGAGTCCAGAAGGCCACCCACCACTATCTTTCAAAATGAATTTCTTTTGGTTTTGATCATATGACATGACAGTATAATCAGTCGTACCGTGTCCTAGGTCCAAGTACATAGTGTGTCCTTGTGAATCGGTATCTTCTTCACTATTCTTTCTTTTCCTTGTGGTATAGTAGCTGGTATGGAAAATATTGCAAACCATTTTCAAATATATGAAAGTTACTCCGTATGAACTCACCCGTGATTGTCTTACCAGACTTGAAAGAACCAGTACCAATATCCAAATATAGAATTTTGGATTTCTCTATTAGCTTAAAAAAAGGTTGTGGTAGCGGCATGTCACTGATGTCATCTAGGGAATTCAGTTCAATGTCAGATTTCTTAATAGACACACGTGTTGAGTAAATTTTTCTCGACGATCCCGAAACCGTAACTTGATCTTCATCTTGGATGTCTATAGTACATCTCTATATAATTCTGACAAATTTCTTTTTCTGCTCTCAAGAAATTGGTCAAAAGGTTCCTGGTAATCATCAAAACCACCTCTCTCTGTGGTCTCATCGTCCCTCATATTAGAAAGCATTCTATATTAAACTATTGGTTTTTTTTTATTCTTCTTTGAGTTTGTTGGTTTTAAAGTTTTCCATCAACACTTTCTGTTTTAGTTCTACTCCTTAATTAGAAAAGGACCAAACAAAACATTTTGTACCTTCAATCTATTAAATGATCACATTACAATTATTTTCTGTTCAACAAAGGTCATTGATTGATGACAGAATAATTTACAATTTTATTACAACAAGAATGTGCAGTTAAACATGGTGAAAGTTCTGTTGGAGAGAGGGAATGTGTTGACCATTCTGACATCCTCTCCGAACAGAGAAAGTGTTGAACCCATGATTGAAGGGGTCGCCCTCATTAATCCTGGAATCTTATAATCAGTCACCATCCAAGAACCAACAGGCTCATCAGATGGGGTTGATACAATTTCATAGTTGAATCTTCCTGCATTGTATGGGTAAAGACCACTGTAAAAGCCACCAAATATAACAACAAAGTTTTCTGTAACTATTAACGAACCATCTGTAACTTGGTATGGCAAAACAGAGTAAGAGTTTTCAAATACGGTAGGTTTGAAATAGGACGCTTTCAAGATATCGCTGTATGGTGCATTTGGATCTTGAGTTCTTCCCCCAAATATGTACAAATAATCCTTAACTCTAGCAATTTGACCACTATAAACACCTAGTGGTAATCTTTGTGATAGTATTTCAGGAGTGAAGGGATTAGAGATGTGGAATCTCAAAATCATGTCAGTAACGTTGAGACTTAACTTTGGGCTATCAGAGTCATCACTTAGACTAACAAGACCACCAAAAATATAGAAAAAGTCATCTACCAGTAATGATTGACCAGCTGATACATTATAAGGAAGTTTGAATCTAGTAAGCTCCCATCCACTTTCCAGATCAGATGTTTTGCATCTATGGATAGCATTAGAGATAGTGTTATTTACCACCCCTCCGTACAGGTAGAAATATTCTCCTAGTCTAAGCATATGAGAATTGTAAATTGTTCCTTGGAAGAATTTGCCAGTATTGTTTCTGTATTCTACAATCGAACCCATTGTTGGATCTGCAATATTTCTCTTATAAAGGTAAAAACCATTATCTGGAAAGATTGCAAAATTGTCCCCTACAAACTGGTAGGCAATATCATCCACTTCAAAATATGGATATCTTCTTCTTTCCATTGCAAACCCATAAAAACTCAATCCATTATAAATCCAGTCGAAGGCTGGTTGTTGTGATGAAATACGGAGCAGTTCTCCATTAGTTGATCCACCACTACCGTAATAAGTACCATTATTTCCTAAAAATACAGTTGTTCCTTGCATGACAGCCAAGTCAACAACAGTCACATATTCTGGGAGTGTTATATTTTGAGGTACTGTAAAAAGGGTGGCTGAACTAGCACCCAATTGGTATTGATTGTTATTACCCCAAGCATATAAGAAACTTTCATTGGTAAGAGCAAATGAGGTCGAAAATCTGGCATAAATCTTGACTACTGTGCTGTTTTTAAGGTAGGAAATAAGAGTAGGTTCCAACTTGTCTAGCTTGTCTCCACTTCCAAGTTGACCAACATCGTTCCTTCCCCAACCGTATACCAACCCTTTGGAAGTTAAGACAAGGTTATAATTTTCACCACACTGTATGTCCATAATAGTACCATTAAATTTGATGTTGACTCTTGTTGGTTCCATTTTATATCCACCAGAAGTACCCACACCTAATTGCCCATAAGTGTTGTCACCCATAGCCGCTAATTCATTATTACTAGTCAACAACAAAGTGTGACTTTCTCCACCACAAACCCTAATGACTGTTTGATTGAGTAAAATGCCTTTCATGTAGACGTCAACTGGTCTTGGCTTGTCAATGGTTGTTTTGTCTCCAAGTTGGCCTCTATTGTTTCTGCCCCAAGCATATGCTTTTCCATTTTCATCAATTACATAAAAAGTGTAGCCTCCAGCTCCAATTTGCTCAATTCTTTTTGGACCTTGCAAATCCCAAGAGAATAACTTGTATGGTGGCTTATTTCCACCAAAAGTACCATCACCAACAACTCCGTATTCATTTCTGCCCCAAGAATAAACTGCATCTCCAGCAAGAACCAAATTGGCATAGTTTGAGCTAACAAATTGAAGAATGGAAATATTCTTTGGTAATTCAACAGGGGTAGAGAGAGTAAAAGATGAGACACCTGCACTATTTGGTCTACCTAAAGCACCACCATTGTCAGCGCCCCAAGAATAGAGTAGTCCATTATAATGAAGAAGAATACCATGATTTTTTCCTGCAGACACTCTATTTCTAATTCTTGGTATTTTGTGAGATCTAGCATGACTAGGAAGAAATCCAACAGTCGTAGTAAAGTTCATTGAGGAAACTATCTTCCTTGTTTTGGCCAATTGCCATTTTTCTTCATTGTACAAAATGTTAGAAGCAGACTATTACCGATAAGCATTTCCAATAACTGAAGGACTTACTTTTTCTACATCATCTAGGGTGGATTGGGTGTGTAGGAAACCAAGATCAGTCAATGTGATCAAGTCATCAAGCTCCTTCTGAACCTCTTCTAGGTTTGCGTATTGTATATTCTTATTATTCAGCATTTGATAGTATTGTTCAACTGGAATTCTTAATTTTGTAATTTCATAAAAAGAAGCTTCTACAGCCTCTTTTGTAATATTAATTTTCAATTTAATTCTGGATTCTTCTATTTCTTGATTTTGACGAACGTAGTCTGTGTAAATCTGGTAAAAACTATCTCGTCTTTCTCTGTAAAATGACAGTTTGTAAAACAATTCTGAAGTTAATGTGCTATTGTATTGGGTTGTTTGAGCACTTGAAGTAACACCTATATGGACTATATGCTTCAATTATTACTTGGAGAAACTTACAAATAAAAGATATTGATACAAATAACAATACCACGGCAAGCCCAATGCTCTTTGGACTAACCTCTACATGAGTATTGCTCCAGATCATTTTTTTTTATGTTTTTTTAAAGCCTTATACAGTGTTTTACAGCCAATGGCTGTAATTTTGTACGGTACAGTGTTCAAAATGTTAAAACGGTTTTTTACCTCAATTTTTTTTGTTTGAATGTTGAATAAGGTTAACTAATTTTTTAAAGAGATATGTTTAGAAAATAAATAACTATTATACAAGGTTGTTTATTAAACCAATAGAGGAATCTTAATGAATGAGCTGACAGTGGTACTTCTGATGTTTGTCTCTGTTATCTTTGAGGCATCATTACCGTATAAATATACATTCGATCCAACAACTACTGGCGAAGTAACAGATTGAAAAGCTGGATTAGTTGGGAGCTTGTCTCCAGTAACAGACCATGAACCAACTGGATCACTTAGAGGAGCTGTAATAATATGAGGATAGTATGTACCAATAATATTTGGAGAGTACTCAGACAAATATCCTCCCATGAGGTAGATACTACTATTGGTAATTATCATTGGGCTATCAGATAAAGGGAATGGAAGCACTGAGTAAGTATTTTCCCATTGACTAATATTCAAATAAGGAGCTCTGAAGATGTCAGCAAACGCATCACCCGTGTTAACTCGCCCACCCAAAATATAGACGAAATCTCCAATTCTTGCAATATTGCCACTATAGACACCTCTTGGCAACCCACCACCACTCATTATTTCCCATTGGGTTGGACTGGAAACATGACATCTCAAAATACTTGATGAAACACCAATTGATACGAATCCTTTGTCTGTGCTATTAAACCAAGTCAAGCCACCAAATATGTAGAAAAAGTCATCCAATAAAATGGACATACCGTTTGAAACTGGGAATGGGAGCGTTGGCTTAACAATTTCCCATCCATTTTCAATATTATCCACTGGAGCTCTGTAAATAAGGTTTGAAATTGATCCATTAACAAAACCACCATAGAAGTAAACATGTTGGTTAGTTCTCAAAATATGAGTATTGTAAATGGAACCAGGGAACATCTGTGATGTTGTATTTTGATAATCAATCATTGACCACAATTCTGGAGAGGTGTTATTCCTCACGTATCCATCAAACCCATTATCAGGGTAAGAAAAGTACTTGGATCCAATAAATGCATAGCTCTTTTCGTTGAGTTGGATATATGGATAATGTCTTCTTTCCATAACTGGGTATATAGGTGGGAAGGTGTAACACTGGGTAAACTTAGTTTGGGAAGTGGTGATGTTCAACAGTTTTCTGGTACTTTCTGAAGAAAATCCAGCACCATAAAGGGTGCCATTTGCACCAAGAATTACAGTTGATCCATTCATGATTGCTATTTCAGAAGGCATATAACCATTGGGTAAGCTAAACTCTACCGGAACATTTATAAAGGTGGTGGCAATATTGCCTATAATTGCTATTTTGGAATGACCTAATTGAGAATAATCATTTTGACCCCATGAAACCATGGCTCCATTTTCCAAGAAGGCAAAATTCTCGTTGAGTCTTGATTCAATCTTGACAACTTTTCTTGTACCAATAGCTGAGAGTGTGTTGACTTTGGTTGGTTTTGTTCTTGTTGTTGTGGTATTATCTCCAAGTTGCCCATAGTCGTTAAGACCCCAAGCATACATGGCACCTCCAGTCAAGAGCACCAGGTTGTGGTTATCACCACATTGAATATCTGCAATTGTGTCATTGAATGGGAAATTGATGAGGACAGGTTCCCATTTCTTTGCAATAACTGAGGAACTAACTCCGATACCAAGTTGTCCTTTAGAGTTATCACCAAAAGAGTAAAGCATTCCATTGTTGGCAAGGACAAGAGTATGAGTCAAACCACCACAAACTCTGGTAACTGTTTGATTAAGCAAAGCACCCTTCATAAAAACGTCCACAGGTCTCCATTTGTCAATTGGAGTTCTATCGCCAAGTTGGCCAAAATCATTCTTTCCCCATGAATAGAGTTTACCATTTTCGTCAATAGCATAAAAGTTATATGGGCCAGAAGCAATCTGAGCGATTCCTTTAGGACCTTGTAAATCCCATGAAAAGACCTTCCTTGGTTGGTAATGATTCACAGTTGTACCATCAGCATCAACTCCATAGTCATTCTTTCCCCATGAATAGACGGCATCATCAGCTAGCAACAGATTTCCATAGTAAGAGTTAGTGAACTGAAGAATGGTAACGTTCTTCAATTCTACAGGCAAATCCAAACTTGGCATTGGTGTGTTAACAGATCTTCCCAAAGAACCACCCATATCAACACCCCAAGAATACAAATTACCACCAGGGCCAAGGAACAAACCATGATTTAATCCAGCAGAAATTCTATTTCTAATTCTCATAACTGGGAAATACATTACATGATTTGGGAGATAACCAACTGTAGTATTGAGAGTCATGTTTGCTGGCAATAAATCGAGGTCAGTTTTTTGCCAATGGTGGTAGCTTAGAAGTACATTCGATAATTTCTAACTGGTTCAGCAACAAAAATTGTAAAAAAACATACCTCATTGATTGAATCAATGGTTGAGTAGGCAACTGAAACAGCATGCTTAGTAACATTGATATAACTGTTAACTTCAACAAGAGAGTCCCAAGCGGCTGCTGCTTCGTTTTGTTTGGCTGAGAGAAGTATGGTATATGTTTGTTCTTTAACACCAAGCTTGTTAATAGAGGCTAGAGACCTTTCCATTGCATATTTTGTATTATAAATTATTTTCTCCTTGTAGATAATTTTGTCAGCTTCACTTAAATAATCTGTTTCAATTCCCATCAAACTTTGTCTTTTTTGAATCATGAACATTAAGGAAAGTACATATTCACTGAAAGATTGTTCTGATTGAGCCTTGACCACTACAAATACTTTAAACGTGTCAACATATTATTCCTCCACACTACTTACCAAGTCCTAGCAAAGCGAGGAGGACGCAAAAAACCACCCGTTTGTTGATGTGCGTGTTTGGGGATGGCTTGATTTTCATTGTGATGTTTTTTTCTGCTGTATTAAGCGATAAAATAATTCGTAGTGGTAATTTCATTACGACTGTACTGTACACAGCTGTATTTAAGCTGATTTGGGCGAGTGCTTACAGCAGCAAACTGCAACTACTTTTAAAAAAACAACACCCATCACATCTCCCGCTACATCACAAAATGAAGCTGAATGCCACAATTGTGGTTGTGTTACTATTGCTTGTTGCTTCGGGTAGGTTGATGTTTCTATTTATTAATATTAAATGATTATTTACAATGCTTAATATAACAGTAATCAATCAAGTATTATCAGAGCAACTCCCGTTAGATGAAGCTTACTATAATATTGCTAGTCTTAGAGAAAGAAGAGATAGTTATTATGCTGTTAATCAAGATTATTTACAACAAAAAGCAGACATGGTCAAAGCAAATATTAAAGAAAAAATCACTGTTATTAGTGAAGCTGTAAAGTACTCGAAAGAATTTATATCTGATTTTGGTATCCCTCAAGACCAATACGAAGCAATTCTTAAAAATAAGGTTACCCAATATGAGAATGTTGTTTCTGTTGAAAAAGAACTTGACAGTCTCATTGCTCTCACCAATCAAGGTTTTAATACAACATATAGTTCCTTGAAAGATCTGGTAATAGATTCCTTGAACTATTTGAATGATCCTTCTAAGTGGACCAATACTAACATTAGTACAATTCCTGTTCCGTTGCATTTTAATCTTACATATGGGTATCTGCCAAACTATGCAACCTTTAAGAAGGTTGTGCGTGAAAGAAATAGGCTATCAGCTGGAAGAGACCATGGACTTTATCTTCATGGCAATGGAAAACTTTATTCCTGGGGTGTTGAATGTGATGGATGTTTGGGTAGATTAGGAACTACTATGGGCACAGGATATGTTCCAACACTTAGTACACCAGTTGAGTTGCCAAACTATTCTACAAATGTCAATCTTACAATTCTTCAATTCGATTCTTCGTACTATAGTAACATTCTCTTGGCTGGTGATGCTGTTTACACTTGGGGAAGAAATGACTATGGCGAAGTTGGTGATGGAACCGTTGCCGTTCACAAAAAAGTACCATTCAAATTATTCTCTTGGGACTTGCAAGGTCCTCAAGATGTTGAGCAAATTGCTGCTGGTGCTTTTACTTTCTATGCCATTAAGGAAAACGGCAAGTTATATGCCTGGGGAAGAAATCATAGAGGCCAACTTGGTGATAAAACAACTGTGACAAAGGTGAGACCGGTTGATGTATACATGGATGGTGCTCTAGCCAATCAGTACATTGTTAAGGTTTGTGGTGGTTTGTCACACACTGCTGTCTTAACCTCAAATAATAGTCTGTATTCATTTGGCGACAACACATACGGTCAACTAGGTATTGGAAGCGCCTCCTCCGCTGAATATAAAATGGAAGCTGTTGCTGTAAATTTACCAGAAAGCTTTGCAGGAGAGATAGTTGTTGATTTGAAGTGTGGTGATGATTTTACAACTGTATTGACAGAATCAGGAAAAGTTTTTGCTTGGGGAAAAAATGACAAAGGTCAGTGTGGAACAGGTATCAATTCACCATACCTCACTGTCCCTACACCAATTGAAATGGCTGGTATTGGTGCTGGCAGATCTATTGTTGCCCTCTATTCCAAGTTTAGAAATTCCTTTGTACTTTGTAACGATGGAAAGTGGTTCTCTTGGGGTGATAATTCTAATGGGCAATTAGGTCACACAGGTGGTCTTTCTGCTCTTATGAATGTGGCAACAGAAGTTATTCCTCTCTCCAATGATGAATTATACAACCACAAAATTACTGAAATAACAATGATGTACAGGTCGGCTGTTGGCTTGACAACCGATGGAGCGTTTGTAGGTGCTGGATATTCCTCCCAAACCGAAAGACAATTGTTTGACGTTTTTGAACCTGTAACATCCAATTTTAGAAAAGTTTTTACCTTTGACAACACCACTGGCTTTACTCTTGAAAGAAGACATTACCCATATTTTGAAACTGATGATAAGGCCTATCAGTTTGTTGGTGATAAGTATTATCCACTTGTGGATAATGGCTTCCAGTTGTATTATAGAAACTTGAGTGACCCTATGACTTGGGATCTTGTGAATTACCAAAACAAGACAAAAAGAACCTTCCCTGGTACCATTTATAACACGCATATAGCCAGAGCTCAAGAATATATTTATTTTTATGGTGGTGTGGTGAATGGAACCCTCAGCAATAAGATTTATCGTGCTCCTGTCAGTGATATAGAGAATGGGTGGGAGTTGATGAAAAATACCTTACCATATGCAGTTGCTTCTGGTATGTCATTGGTTGTAGACGATTACATCTACATTTATGGTGGCATCTTGAACTTTGACATTTCAATTAATAATGTTACTGACATGATAATTCGTGCCCCTATCAATGCACCTTACAACTTTGAAATAGTCTCTAAAAAACTCCCACAACCTGTGTATGGTGGTAACATAGCCATGATCGGTGATTATATCTATATTTTTGGGGGTAGATCACCATCTCAAGAAGCCTACTCTGATATTTTGAGAGCTAGATATATTTTCCCCTATCTGTGGGAAAATACCTTCTCTGTATTGCCATTTACCTACTCTGATGGGCCAATGGTGGTAACAGGAGATTACATTTTCATATTTGGTGGTTATCCAAGCAAAGGACATTCAAGATCTCTGAATGATTTCAATTACAGAGTTGTTTACACTCCAACAAGTGACCCAGTTGGTTCATGGACTGTTTCGGGAGATGTTATCCCTTCTGTTTCTTCTTTCACTCCAACCTTCTCTGGTAATAATCTTTATCTCTACGGCACTGATATCAAGAGAATCTTCACCAGGTTAATGAGCAACAAGACTCACACATTGTGTACCATACCATTATTAACTCAACCATTTGAAAATAAATAAATTGTACTAGTAGTTTAATGATAATATAGAGTATTGAATGAGAATAATGAAAATGATAGGGACTTTATTCTTTGAAATGTTTTGAATTTTATTGTGGACTATTCAACTTAGAAACAGATCTTGATTAATAAATCTGTAGGCAATTATCATCTCATTTTCGTGCAGAAATGAAAAGTTTATTGCTGCTCAATCGTCCCTTATGATTGGCTTGAAACCAAAAAAAATGTTGAGCACATTTGGGAGATACATTATGCACAATCTTCTTCTAATATTCTCCAAATAACTTCTAGTTAAGGTTTTTGAAAGTCTTACTGTGAATACAGCCTTAACACAGAAATTACAGTGATTTGCGGTGCACAACTCAGAAAAAAAACGAATGATGAAGACCCTCAACGCTGGTTTGCGGTCTAAATTGCAATGTGTGTGTGTAGCTTTTTGTAGGTTGTATATTTCCGCTTACTATAAATTTTTCATAGTAATAATTTGCTTCACATTGAGTGTACATACATTTGATGCCTCAAATGATCAACAACAACATGCTGTTGAACTTGTAAAAGGATGGAAAGAAAAACAAAATAGTTACAATAGAGTTCTGGTTGGACTCGAAAAGCAAAAGGAAGATTTTTACTCCTCAAAGATAATGCAAAAGCTAGTGAATATGCAAGAAGCACTTGATGGAGCTTCAATGATATTGGATGACTTGGGAGTTAATCAAACAATGTTTGATCAAATGGTCACATCAAAGAAAAAGGACTGGAAAAGAGCATTGAGCATGGAGGTGGAATTACTAAATGTCATTACCTTGGCTGATAACTCACAAAGAATATTGGGAGAGAATAGTTTTAATATGATTAATGTAAGTTTATTTTGAGCATCGACAATTTAGTTTTGTAAAGAACTTCACCGAAGCTATCTATGGAGAGGAATTATTATTCAGACAAAACACTTTGAACTTTTCAATGAACCACCAAATGTATTTCAACTCTAGACCAGGTATTTTTCCTTCCTATGAATATCATTCTTCTATTGTCAGAGTGAGAAACAGAATTGTTGCAGGTGCAAATCACGTACTTGTACTAATGCCTAATGGTAAATTATACTCGACTGGTGTCTACAATAATGGAAATTTGGGAAGAACAAGTCAGGATTCTAGACTCCTCTACAATAACCCTGTTGAAGTTCTTGACGAATTAGAAATTCTTCAAATTGAAGCTCAGAGAAATAGCAGCATGGTGTTGACTACGAATGGTCTCTATGTTTTTGGTTTAAATGATCGTTCACAATTAGCAACTGGTGGAACTAAATCTGTGTTGAAAGCAACAAAAGTTCATGGTTTTAACTTTGACACTAAAATAGTTCAAATTGCTATGGGTAATTATGCTTCGTATGCGATAGATGAAAATGGAAAATTGTGGGCATGGGGAGCTAATGATCAAGGTCAAATTGGTGACAGAACTTGGGATGAAAAGAATAGACCATTCTCTGTTTATAGATACGGAGCTTTAGCAAATCAAACAGTTGTTAGAGTTTGTGCTGGAAATGGTAGTGTACTTGCTTTAACATCAACAGGTAATCTGGTAGCAATTGGAGACAACACATACGGTCAATTGGGTACTGGTGATTACGTTTCAAGTGGTGAGCCTGTTGTTGTAAAGATGAAACCATTCCAAAATGAGACAATCAAAGATATTCAATGTGGTATGTTTCATAACCTTGTCCTTACAGCCAGTGGTAAAGTTTTTGCTTTTGGTGGTAATATGTATGGACAAGTTGGAACTGGTAACACAACAAACATACCAATACCAACTTTGATTTCTGGTATTAACTGCACCGTAACCAAGATCCACACAAAAGGTCATGTGAGTTTTGCTGTTTGTGCATCTAAACCAGGGTATTTTTATTCTTGGGGATTGAATGATATTGGGCAAACAGGTGCTGGACTTTCTTATGGATTAAAAATTCTATCGCCCAAACTTGTAAAATACTCAGCTCACCCAATTGTAGATATTACTTCCAATGTTTATAATTCCTTCCTTTTTCTTGCTGATGGATCCATTCATGCCACAGGTGGCTGTTTTAATACCCAGTTTTTCCTTGGACAAGATTGCTTTGAAACCGTTCAAACAAAGAAGTTTGCTTTCTCTATTAACGGACTTTTCACTCAAGTACGACACCAAACCAACATGCAATTATACTGGTATCAGAGAAAACCAGTTTATTTCGAAATGGGTGATATTGCATATTTACTTCAAACAGAGAACACTCTTCCAACAAGAAGAAATAACGGGTTCAATATGTACACCACAAACGTTACAGCAAATGACATGGTATGGAATATGATTGAGTATAATGAAACTACCAACACTGGTTTTCCTCACTCTATTTATAATACACACGTCCTTAAACATGGTGAATATGTCTATTTGTTTGGAGGTGTTGTGGATGATGATATTTCAAATAGAATTTACAGAGCACCTGTCTATGATTTGTTTCAATCATGGGAATTAATTAACGAAAAACTTCCAATCCCAATAGCATCTGGTATGCTTATGGCAGTAGGAGATTATGTTTACATTTTTGGTGGTATCATTTCCATCTATGAGTTCAATGCAACTGCAGATATTGCTCCAACAATGAAACACAATGTAACCAATTGTATAATGCGAGCTTCAACAACAAGCATAACAAAATGGGAGATTGTACAAGATGTTATTCCCCTTCCTCTGCATTCTGCTTTTATCGAAGTGGTTGATAATTATGTCTACTTGTTTGGTGGCAGCTCAACAGTACGAGGAAGTGGTATTAATATCTTTAGAGCAAAATTACAATCTCCAACTGTTTGGGAGATGACCTTCGGTCTCCTTCCTTATTTCATTACTAATACCGGTCCATTTTCCTCAACAGAAGATAAGTTATATATTTTTGGTGGTACAAACTCATCCACTAGTTCAACTGGACCTTACTTTGCCTTTGGTAAGAAGAGTGATATTATAGGATCATGGACTGCTATTCCTGATACAAATATAGAGTTGACCCATTTTGATTGGTGCACTAAGTATCCATTGTTGTGCTATCAATGTTCTAACCCAGATTTTGGTTTCAGTAATGTTACAGGGTATACTGGTCCACAATATTACGAGGCTACTAATCCAAGTGTCTGCTCTTCAGCTGGTATTTGCGTTGGTAATGATGAATGTCAATGTAGTCATGGTAGATTTGGTGACAGATGTCAATTAATAGGAATAGTGGATTACAGTAATGGGAGACACTATGCTGATGGAACTGTTGCTGATTCTTGCTCTTCCTACAAAAATCCAACTAACACCTCTCGTGTTTATCAAGGTTTGATTGGTGGTGGTTTCTATAGTATTCTAAATAATGGAACAACAATACCAATTAAAGTATATTGTGACATGGTTTTTTAGTTCTTTTTTATATTATTTTGAATCGGCTGTTTCAAAAACAAACATTTGAATCATTACACTCCAACCATGACAAGAACAAACGCTTAGCTTGAAACTTTTACTTGCTTTATTGTATCTGAACTGTTACTGCTTCCTCCAACAGAAGGAGTCACCCTCCAAACATGATCAAACGCACTTAATTTAGTCTTCACCAAACCCTCAATACACCTTTTTGTTGATTTCTATATACTCTGAACCCTCATAATTCAATAATGGTTGAGCAGACAAAGATTTTCATTAAGGGCAGCTCGTTTTTACTGCTTGTTAGAAAAAACCAATTAAACACTGTTCACCAACAATTTCCTCCGAACGAAACATGCACAGCAACATCAAGATGATTAGTGGTACTTTTGGTCAATTCACATCACCATTCAATCTTGAAAAACTGTCTGAAAACTAGCAATTCTCATTTTAGTTCTTTGCACCAAGTCGATTCCAAATGTTCTCTCATTTCTTGTTCAAAGATCATTGGTGCAGTCCGCTCTTCGATGTCAAGCTCTGTAACAGACATTCATGGTCAATGCTCTTCTGATTCTCTATCTTCGTCATGCAGGTCACAATCGACAGATTAGACTTCCAAAACCTTGTATAAAATCCACCTTGAAAATGTCCACACTGAAATCTATTGTAAACCAATTACAAGGATTAATATTTAGAAATAGGTTTTTAAGTTCTTTAGGTTTCATGTAACTGTATAGGATAATATTGGTTTATTCGTCGTCATAAATGAAAGAATAGGTATCTCTTGGATCTTTGAATGGGCAGTCTGTGATTAATATAACCTCATCATCCTCATCTACAGCCTCCCTTGAAGCAGGCTTGTATTCTTCCATTTCCTCAAATTTTATATGTTTCAGCCAGAATGCACGATCCATTGATTTGAGGAATAGCCATTCATATCGGTAGTTCTTTTCGAAATCTGGATCAATAGTCAGTAAACCTTTAACAAATTCGTCCAAATCTCTGTGGGTAGTAAATTTCTTTTTGTTTTCAGCAAAATTAAATGCTTTTCTGAATTGTTCATTCATTTTGAAAACCAAATCACTCTGTCCCTTTGTTTTGAGTTTTTTAAGGAATTCTCCAAGAGGTCCTTGTGATAGGCTATCTCTTGAAAGTCCAATTGAAACCAGAACATCATCCACAAAATCTTGACAATTTCCACTCTTTCCTGGTTCTGTATCTCTTTCCTTATAACTCATACTAGTATTCCACTTTACAATAACTTTGCTCAATTTCTCTACAACATTTCTAACATCCTCATTGGTTTGGAGTTGTTCAATATCTGCTGATAGCATGGCAGCAGAGCTAACACATTTTCTTGGAACACAAATAGCAGAATTGTTCCATTCAATTAACCAAGGTCTAAAATATTTGATTGATTAATTAGTAATGCAAGTAAATATTAAACAATATAAAGTGAGGGGAAATATTAGAGAATAGTTACATACCCAATTTGAAGAGCAGAGTGGAACATACCCAACTCTGGTAACATATCCAATTTGCTCAAAACAGGAGACAACATTCTTCTGAATGCCTTCTTTCCTTTAGTCTTGGCAATTTCAGAAATGACAATCTTAACTTTAACAGTATTTTGTTCTAAAATCTTGTTCAATCCTGGATCCTTTTCTCCCAAACGAATATCTTCCTCATTGATAATATCATCATCATCATCAAAGTCACCTCCAACATTTTCTGATGGTGTCTTGTTGATTTGATTCACATCCGAAGCAGCTGTACTGGCTGGTACAACTGATTTCATACCTGAATGTCCACTTCTAGATAATTCCTCATCCTCCACTAAAGTCTTTGATTGTTGTAACATCTTCCTGGCAAGATCAACAGTATCTAACCATTTGGTAGTTAAATAGGTTGTTTGGAGTTTATCTTCTGTACCAAGAACTTCAGCAAATTGCCTCATAATATTAATATCTTGGAGTCTTGCTCTATATATTTCATTGTTTTTTAATTTATCTATTATAAATTCAATGCCCTGTAATTAATTTCCGCAGCATCATCATGTTGTTAATATTATATAATTTAATTGTAAAAGAATTATTAATATAACAAATAATCTTGTACATACTTTTTCAAAGTCCTGTGGATCGTTTTGAATACTAGCAACAGTATTTGTTGTATTTGTTGTTGTGGTCGTGGTGGATCGTGTTGATCCTCTCTTTCCGTTATTATTCGTTCCCTTTGAACCTCTTTGTCCCATTTTTTCTTTGCTCCTTTACTACATTGCCGAAAAGTGGAATCAAGGAAAGTTTGATAAATGTTGGAAATCAGCTTGATTTGTGAGCTTTGTGTTCTTCAATTTATTAATTGGGAAACAGTTGAAGTTAAAGAAAATTTATGTACAAAGAAATTAATCTTCTTAAAGTTGAGTCGAATGTTTTAGTAGTTTAACTAGTAGGTTTCATTTCTGTCTAATAGAGTATCCAATTTGTCTAATTCTGCACTTGGGATGTAATCTTCTGAGAAGGCAACATTGGTAAGTTTGAAATTTTCATTGAAAACATCAAAAAGATGAGGATTGAGGGTTGTAATACTAGTGTCTTCGAGATAAAGATCAGTTACAGCAGTATTCCATCGAAGCATATCACAAATAATCTTTAAACCTCTATTATCAATGGAAGTATTGCTTGACAAGTCCAAAATTTTAACACTCTTGTTGAATTTCAACTTGATGCATAACAATTCGAGTTCTTTGAGTGAGGTAATCTTTCCTTTGGAGAGATTGATAGATGTTTTACTCAACATCTTATCCAAATCCTTTTCGAATTTTTTGAGTTCATCTTGATAAATTTCGTCTTCATCGTCTCTAGCTGGTTCTTCCTCTTCTTCTGGTTCTTCTTTTTTAATTGGTACGGCAGCAACTGGTTGTTGAGGAACAGAGTTGTGTTCTTCATCAGAGTCATAATAACTATACTTGGAACGAATCTTGTACAAGTCTTCCTTTTCTAAGGAGGAAATGACAGGAGCCTCAAAAGATGCTGGTCTGACAGAGGCTGATTCTTCACTGGTGACAGCTGATTCTGATGACTCTGGGATGGATGGTTGTTCTTGGATGGTATTTTCTGTTGGTGCACTGGAGGTTTCTTGCTTAGTAACAATGGCAGAGGCAGTAGAAACAGAAGAAACTTGCTTTTCAAGTTCGTTCTTGGCCTTCTTGAGCTCACTTTCAGCATTCTTGGCCTTTTGAGTTTCAGCAGATAATTCCTTCTTGAGTTGTTCCAAAATCAAACGATCACTCTCAAATTGTTTTTCGTAATCTCTCACTTGTTCTTGAGTTTGATCGAGTTGAGTTACCAAATTATCAACTTGTTCTCTCAAATTGTTAATTTCAACACTGGCTTCACCATCTCCAACAGGAATAAGCTTTTCAATAATCTTCTCAACCTCTACAATCTTTTCAACTTCCTTTTCAACAATCTTTTCGACAACTTTTTCAACAATTTTCTCGACTTCCTTCTCAACTACCCTTTCAACTTGTTCTACAATCTTTTCTGGTTCTGACTTGCTTGACACCTTGTTTAATTCTTGATTCTCTGACTGGAGAGATTGAACAAGTTTCTTCAAATTGTCCAACTCTGTTGTATCTACAAGAGGTTGAGTTGTGGCAACAGGTGTAGAGGATGGTTGACTTCCATTAATCTTTTCCAATTCTTCCTTAAGAGCCAGTATTTCACCAGCTAATTCTTCCTTTTCCTTTTCATATTCCAAAAGTTCTTCTTGACGTAATTCTTCAAGGACATCTCTTTCCAATGTGATTTCTTCCAAATTCTTCAAGAGAGTTTCTATATCTGCTGGTTCTTCGGCATCAGCATCTTCACCTGATGTTGGCACTGCCTTTTTGGTTGTTTCGGAGGACTCTTCAAGCTTCTTCTTGAGCTCTTCCACTTGCAAGGCCAATTGATCACGTTCTTTCTCAATAGTGGACATGATATCATTGAGTTCTTGATTCCAACGTTTCAATTTTTCAAATTCTGCCTTAACCTTTTCAGCATGATCTCCAGTTGTGTTTGAGACAACTTTTTCACTTTGTTCAAGGATGGCCTTTTGAGTTTCCTTTTTTTCGGTGGATGTTTGTTCTTGGAGTTTCTTCTTTAGTTCATCAACTTCAGTAGCAAGATCCTTATTCTTCTTTTCCAATGTTTTTTTAACGTCGGAAGCCCTAGAATCCAAATTCACCAAGTCATCCATTAAACCTTCATTTTCTAAAGTCAATTCTTTAATCTTGGTTTCTTGTTCCTGCTTTTCTTTGGTTAATTGAGTAATACTGGTTTGAAGAGTTTCAACTTGTTTCTTCACTTGATCCAACTCGGTTGCAAGATCCTTCTTTGTTTGTTCTAAGAGAGTAGCATGTTCATTCTTGACTTGTTGCAATTTTTCTTCATTTTCCTTCTTTAATTGGTCAACAAGTGATATATCAACCACACCACTCGTTGGTTGTTGTTGAGTTTCAACAGGAGCAGAATTGGAAATGGATTGCTTCAATTGTTCGCATTGATTGGTCAATACCTCAATACTCTTTTTAAGTTGTTGTAATTGACCTTCTTTTTCTTCCGATTCTTGCTTGTGTTTGGCATTAGTTTGAGCCAACTCTTCTTCAAAATTTTTAATTTCATTCAATTTGGTTGCCAATTCTTGTTCACAATTCTTTAATCTTTCAAATTCATCAATTTGAATAATCTTTTCATTGGAAGCAAGATTAGTGCGTGGAGAACCAGTTGATGAAGCAATTGGTGAAGAGACACGAGGGGAATTATTTGACCTGGCAGAAGTAGAACCACTTGGAGAGGAAGGAGACATTGAACTTGTTCCATTAACATCAGATTCCTTGATTCTCTTTTGTAAATCCAAGAGAGCTTGATCACTTGAGGAAGAAGTGTCCAAAGTTGGAACATCAAGTGAAACACCAATATTTGTACCACTCAATCCTGCCTTTTTCATCTCATCTAGAGAACCTGTTGATTGGGTAACGGAATTTCTGCCAGGACTCAATTCCTTTGAGGATTCCTTCTTACCTCCTAATAAATTACGAATGGAAAATCTATGTTTTTTCTTTGAATTAGCAGCAGAGGAAGCTGATAACAATGATGATGAAGCACCTGGGATATATTCTTCTCCTTCACCAAAGCTTTGGTCATCTTGACTATTCTTTGAAAATCCAGAGTCAGATGACGAAATAGAAATTCTTGTTGGAGCATCAGAAAGATTAGATGTAGAGGAAGAGGATGGAGATGTTTCCTTCTTCTTTTTATCTTTGGCCATTTTCTTTTTTATTTTAATGATTGGCGTTGATGATGTTTTGTTGTCAACAGATTAATTGACAGCAGAATGAATGGGTAATGACGATTTTTTTTTTAAAAAATATTTGGAGATGTTGAAAGGTGAAAGAAAGTAATGAAAAGTCTTCTTGTTAATTTTTCAAAGTGCCAAAAACATACAGCAAACTGAAGGAGCATGAAATTTGAAAAATAAAAATTGGATCTTGTTAATTTCAAAAGTACTAAGGTTGGCAACAATTGGGATGGTATTATGAGTTTAGTTTTCCATTTTGAAATTAATCTAAACCTAAAATTATTAATACTTTGCTACATGAACATATCTTTGAACAAATACATTACAATTCCCAATAAAGTGAAAAGGATAGCAAAAATGAAAAGAATATTTCCCGTATTAGACTCATTCTTGTATCGTTTCATAATTTCTCGTCTGTTAATCTTTTCTGGATTGGAAAAGTATTTTGAAATACCGTTAACATGTCCTGCCCCAACAACTACAACAATTGTATTTGGATCCAAATCTGGTTGAGTTGTTTCACTTGAATTATCGCCACTCCTTGTATCTATTTCCTCATCTTCTGATTCACTCCAACTGTTTGCTCCTTCCTCCTCAATTTGATTTTCCTTACTCTCATTAGTAATGGTCGATATATCTGTAGTATTGGTTGTTGTTATTTTTGATTCTTCCAAAGCTGTTGAATTATTTGAAGAAATGTTAGAATTATTAGATTCAACATCATCTGCACTATCCAATTGATCTCTTCTGAGCCTTTCATTTTCCAGATATTCAATTGCCTTGAGAATTGAATGAGTAAGATAGGCATCACGTTCTTTTGAAAATGATTACAAAATTAGAATTATTCATTACATACCATCAACCAACACTCTTGCAAGCTGTGGGAATTGATTTCCAAACTCTTCAATAATATCCGTCAAAATATCGGAATGTTTCAACATTTCAATGTCTTTAGAGGAAAATGTCTGTGTGCAGGCATATAAAATATGTGAAATAAATTTGAATTTTTGGAAATAGCCCATCAAATGCCAGCATCTATTCAACGTAATATCTATTGGTCTATCTCCTAGAATTATTCTCGAATTTAATTTTACAGAAATATCATATGCTGCTTTCATTTCAATTCCGGTTTGTATTTTCAAATCATTTGTAACCTTTTGCATGAAATATACAAGTGCCAATTGAAAAAGTGTAATTTTCCTCTTTTCTAATGATGAAAATAAGGTCAAACAAAAAAAGATTTAAACTTACTCTTTACGTAATCCATCAGTAATGAAAATAAACTTTGTCTATTATTGTTATTACTGTGAGGATCAATTTCCTCTGTCTTTTCCATCAATATGGGTGAGCTGTTTTCTCCATCAAAACTATTTTCCGATTTTTCAAAAGGCTTCTTTTTCAAAATGTTGGTATCTACAAGAATTGAACTTCTTCCTTGACATAATTCCAAGATTACTATCGAGGGCTTCTTTTCCAAAATTAATTCTCTCACCTCTCTTGCTGATTCTTCCGATACATGAGCAGTCCCTAGAACATGAATTCTATAATTTCCTTGTTCTAAAACGATTGTGGTACTCTTTAAAAGTGGTGTACTATTGTTTTTAGAGTGGTCATCTGTTGTCTGTGTGATCGAGTAGTCTGTATTATTATTGTCCGTTGGTGGGTATTGTGGGAGAGTTTCGTTTTTCAGTTTTTCCATTTTTTTAAACTTTTATTTTGGTGAGAGAAATCTGTCAAAAAGCGCAAAGAGGAAAATAAGAGTCATTGTTATTAGAAAGTATAATTTCATTCAAATAGATGAGAAACTGGTTCATTTTCCAGGAGAACCCAAGCCAAAGGAGGTGAAGGATTGACAAATATAATATAATATATTATATATTTTGTTTATTAAAAAGAAGTACTTGTTCTTGGATATGAACCTTCACTTTAATGTAGCTACAACTTCAAGTAAATGGCAGGTAAGACTGTTGATGTTATGGTTGAATCTAGTTATGGCTGATGAGAATGAACAACAACTTTGTGGAAGGAAGCAAAGGGAGAACTCTCCTCCTGGTATCAAGGTGGTTGTTTAGCAGGGTGGTGAGGAACTCATGTTGAGCGATTGTTTTTTTTTGTTGAATATTTAACGGTCCTTATGTTATACCTTCAGCGGTTTTTGGTTGGCGCGAGAATATATTTTTAGCTCCAATAATTTACAATAATGAATAAATTGTAATTTTATTACAGCACGTTTACTTCAAGTTTGACAAGATTTGGGGAAATTAAAATTGTTTTTTTTAAAATTAACAGTATTTCATCTTTCAATTTTGATTTGGCAAGTAAACTCAACTCCATTTGAAAAGAATCTGTAACGATAATATTTTATTCAACAAAATGCTAAATTCTCGATGGAATTAAGGTAGTTTTGAAATCTGACTTCAAATTATGAATCCTCGCATTGACATACCCCTTGGGGTGGCAGCATTCTCAAAAATATGTAGAAATGAGTAAGAACGAGTGGTTAGGTGTTGTTCTATTGAAATGCTTATTTTGGATTTGACAGCAGAAGAACATCAAAATTTTTTCTAAATAATTTATTTTCTTTCATAAAACGAGTCAAATTTGAAGTAAACGTGCTGTAAGCTTAATAGACAAAACCCATCAAATATTCTGTACATGTTTATTTGTTAGACAAGTTGCTCTCTGTCCAAACCATTGAACTTTTTGCATGTTGGAGAACTTTGGCTCCTTTAAAATTTGTGTATTACCTTACTCTAGGGCACCCATTATTCATTTAAAATACCGTATTATCAGTGCCAATTGCAGACAGCAGAAGAGGTAATACAACAGCAACTTTTGGTTACAGTAAAAGTCAAGCCGCCCTTAAAGAGGTGAAATGTTCAAGTGTTTAGTCAGGAGGTTGCATATCTCTCCAATATTAATAATTAAAAAACGCATTGAAAACACATGGGTGGTTGGAGTGTTGTTCTTTTGTTTTTCCTGACTGTGGGATGTTGTTTGCAAGTTGTGGCTCTCAACTCAACAAATGTAATGAATGCAACACTAACAACAAACACCAAAATGTCTTCGGAGATCTATCTTGAAGCCCTAATGAATGCAAAAGCCCACAGAGAGAAAGTTAATCAATTAAATGGAACAATGTTTGAATATATTAATGAAGTAGAAGCTCAATTGAAACAAGTTGATCATGAAATGAAAATAATTAGTTTGGGAGAAACAAATAATAGAAACATGTATGCATTTAAGCAAACTTTGCAAAGGAGGCAATCCTTTTTCCATTCGCTGAAGGAAACAAAGTGCATGAACAAAATTGCTCAAGAAAAGTGGAACAGTATAGAACAACGATTTGTAAAAAACCTAACAACATTGCAAGAAGCCTTTAAATCCCCTTATTTTGCAAGGGAGAAAATGAACTCTACATCCATACGAAAGAACAAAGTCAGCATTTCAAGAGAAGTACGTGGAAAATTTATTTCTGAAAGAACATTCATATGCCTTGGAGATCAGTATGGAATGTACATTGATCTTTCAAGTGGGCAGCTTATGTCATTTGGATATGAATATAGTCTGACTGTTCCTCTTGGAAGACCGGGCTCACCACCAACTATAGAACCAGCTGCTGTTAATTTAGGACTTGTAGATGGAGAATTCATCAAACAACTAGTATGTGGAAAAGTTCATGCAATGGTGTTGACCAACAAACGAATCATTGGTTGGGTAGGTTGTCAATATTTTATATCTATCTAAATTTTTGAAAGGGAGAAAACTCAGATGGAAGATTGGGCATACCTCCTCCTTCAGGAACAAACAAATTTATTTCCTTACCACTTACAATACTTTATCATGATAACACTTTTGCATACATGAATGCAGCAATTAATTCAGTAGCTATAGATAATTCTGGGTACGTTTTTATATGGGGAATAGGTGGCCCAATAATTGGAAACAATGACAATATCAATGTTGAAAAGCCAACAAGAATGAATTCAAATATTAGAATGGAAAAAGTGTGCTTACAAGATAAAGATGCCTTTGGAATTGGTTATGATGGTAACATTTATACTTGGGTGAGTACAATATTTGACATATTATTAATTACTGTTTTCTTTTAGGGATCTGCATCCAGTGTATCACCAACACCAATCTCTAGGAGCAGCTTTCCAGACTGGATTGAAGGAGTTTTTGTAAAAGATATTCAATGTGGAACTGAAACAACTGTAGCTTTGTTGTCAAATGGAAATATTTATGCTTGGGGAAGGTATGATCCTTGTGTTGGAACTGATGATGAAACATCATCACCCTCCCCCGTTCCAGTTAGTAGGCAGTTCATTGGAGATGTTAAATTTGAAAAAATTGGACACAGAGGTGGTCTTGTGAACGCCATTACCACTGACAATAGAGTGGTTTCTTGGGGAGTTAACACTAAGAAAAAGTGTCAGTGTGCAACTGGAGTACTGACAGCCATTTGCATTGAACATGCTTGTGAAGAGTGGGCTCCTGCCCATAATGTGGATATCGTATTTACTGGTGAAAATAGGCTATATGAGAGTGGAATTCTTCCAGAGAGAGCAGCAGAAATAAGCCAATTGTTGTCTTCAGGCACTTGTTCTGTTTCTGCTCACCCTGTATTTGTTGGTTATACAATTAGCACTTGTGAAAAACCAGCAGCTTGCATCAAGTCAGTATCGTACGAAGTTCCTTGTTGTGGAGATATTAGGCAACCAAGATTTGTACAAATTCACGAAACAGCATATGAAGATTTATTGGATGTTCAAATATCTACTGATTCTTCTCTAGTAGTTTATTCCTATAATGGGCAAATTGGCATTATGGTTGGTGGTTATTTTAAAGTGACACCTTTTCCAAGTGGGTTCATTAATGAGCAAAATTACATGGCAGGTGTAATGATGATGGGATCTTTTAATTATTTTCCAGTAGAAGAAAGAACTCTTCCAATATATGAAGATGAAGAGAAGAGAGTGATAGTTATGGATCATCCAATTCCTAATACTGGTTTTGATTTAGTTAGTTTCACAAAAATACCAATTTACACTAAGTCGTTGTCAAGCTCCAACTCTAGCTCTGTCATTTTAGCTAGTTCCTTTTATTTTTCTAGCCCCACTTTCAATTTTTCAATTGACCCAAAGTTTTTTGCCAAGTCATTCTTTAGCACTCACCAACTTGCATTTGATGGATTGACTTTTTATTTTGGGGGTATTGTGAATGGCACCTTTTCAAATAGAATTATTTCAAAGCAATCTTTTAACCAAGTTACAATCTATAATGAAACATTACCATATCCAGTTGCTAATGGTGTACTTAAAATGATTGAGGAATATGTCTATATATTTGGTGGAATGATTGCAAAAGGAGTACCAACAGCAAAGATTATGAGAGCAAAAATTAGCAATGTGCTGTTGTGGGAAGTTGTGAACCAAGTTTTACCAAGATCGGTTTACAATGTATTTATTGAGATAATTGATAAAACTATGTACTTCTTTGGAGGAAGAGTGAACAGAGTTCAATCTGTGGGTGATATACATGTAGCATCACTCGCAGACTGGAAATGGAAGAATTTATATGAAGTTCTTCCATACAGCAGAGTGGAAGCTAAAATTTCAAGTGATAACGATAATTATTTCATCTGGGGAGGAAAGGATTATGAAGGAAATTCAACTAATGTATTAGCTTGTTTTAAAAATGATCCTTCAAAATGGATAGTTATTGATTTAAAGTTACCGCTTGTTGGTTACATTGTATCAGTAATTACAGCAGCTGCAAATTCAACTTCATCCATTATCACAACAGTGGAAGGATTACACTCTCATATATCAACTATTGTAATTTCCCAAAATTAATGCGCAAGAACAAAGAATGTATAACAGTGAAAAGCTGCAGTGAAAAGGGCTTATTTCACTTTTGAGCTATTTTCTATGAAAGACTAACAGAGTAAATTGTTCAAATAAAATCCAAACACTTTTACAGAATCTAACAATATTTATTATCTCCTCTGTAAGGATCAATATGAGTTTCTTGTCAATAGAAATTTATCTGTCTTGTGACCAGATAGAACATAACCCAGGATCAGTATTGAACCATCGTCTTTGAAAATCTGATGCTGCTTCTATTGATTCTGCTCTTGCTTCCCCTCTTACTGACAAGTTATCAGTCAGGTCTGTAAATGTTTGGGAAGAGCCACAATTTCAATTTAGGTGCATGGTTTCAAACAATAAAAAGAAGACCAAGAGTTTGAGTTCTAATTGAAGCTCGAGAAACTCACAGATCTCACTAAAAATCCAACAGAATTTATTTTTTATTTTACAAATACAACTTTTAGTACAGATCGAGTGCAAGCTTCAAAACTCTTCCAATTTTTGGTGAGTGGGGAGTGTAAGAAGTACTACGGTGCAATTCAGTTCCGTAGAGCAATACTGTGTCGTTTCTAATCACTGTAATGAGAGATTGGGCAGCATTTGAAGGTAAGAATACATCACTAGCCATCCATGAGCCGACTGGGTCAAATTGTGACTTCTTTGAAATCGCCATAAATCCTCCATTCACTAAACTGCCAGAAGCTGTGCCTCCAACCATTAACAATTCATTACCAGTTGAGATAAAAGCACCATTTGTTACAAAGAATGGAAGTAAACCAAAAGTCATTTCCCAAGATGAAGGATCAGTAATCAAAGCTCTGTAAACTTCTTGGCTGGAAGAGTAATAAGATGGGGAACCTCCAAATAAATAGACATACTTGTCAATAATTGTAATGGAAGCACTGTGTATAGCGGATGGCAATACCTTTCCTGAAACAACCATCCAATTTGTCAAATTATTAATTGGGGCTCTAATTATTTGGTTTGTAACTGTTGGAGAAAGAGTTGGAAGTTCACCGCCATTGTAGGAATAGATCTTGGTTATACCACCAAAAATATAAATGTATCCATTAATAACTGTTGTCATACCACTTGCAACAGAATATGGTAGAGTAAAATTACAGAGTTCCCATCCAGATTCAACATCATAAATTGGAGCCCTGTAAATCTTATTTGAAACTTCGTCATTGATGAAACCACCAAAGAAGTAGACATATTCATCAGCTTTAAGGAAGTGGCTGTTGTAAATTGATACAGGAAAACCTGCGTTGGTGGCTTCATTTCGTTCGATAATAGACCAAGAGTTTTCTGGATCAGCAAATTGCTTATAATACATATTAAAGCCATTATTAGGTCTGGTTGGAACTACTGTATCTGTTTGAAGGAGGTAGGCTCTTGTTCCAATCTCAAAATATTGGGCCTTTCTAAGGGATACTGGATAACTAATAGAAGAGAAAGTTGGCATCTTTGACATTGAATTCAAGGAGAAAATATTGGAACTAGTGCAAGCCCCATAATCACTGGATCTTGTAGTGTAGAAGAAGGCAAATTGCTGTTTAGAACCATCAATACATGATCCGGTTCCATAAATACTCAAATCAGATGTGGTAAGGAACATGTTGTTAAAATTGGAGGATATCTCAATAATTTTGGGGAAGCCCAAATAGTCATCAGTGCTGGACAAGAACGACGAAGGATCAACTCTGGTTGGGGTAGTTGTTGGTATTTGGTTACTAGTTCTTCCAAGTTGGCCAACAGAGTTCATTCCCCATGAATACAGTTCGTTGCTTGTACACAAAGCAAATGAGCTTTGGTATTTTGTGTGGATTTGGGATACTGTACAGCCAGAAATTGTGATCTTTTGTGGAATTGGGGATTTACCTCCAGAACTTCCATCACCCAATTGGCCGTAATTGTTGTTTCCCCAAGTATATACATCACCTGATGATGTAAGGGCCATTGCATAATCATAACCACATTGAATGTCAACAATTGTCTTTGAGGCTAGTTCTGAAGGTTTAACCACCAACAATGGTTCTCCCGATTTTGAAATTAATGGGTTATTAACACCTAGCTGTCCATATGAATTATCACCAAACGAAACCATATTTCCATTTGCAAGTAAGGCAAGAGCAAAGTAACCACCCCCACAAACCCTAACCACAGCCGTGCTGTTAATAGCGCCATAGCTGTAAACTGGGAAAGGACGATTCTTTTCAGAAAAGGTTCTGTCTCCCAATTGACCGTACATGGTATTGTCACCCCAGGCCCATAACTTGCCGTTGGAATCAATGGCATAGGATGCTTGGCGTCCCATGGCTATTTGAACAATATTTTGTCCACCAAATCCGTAAACCTTTCCAGCGACATATCTGTCATTTCTATCTCCAGTTCCCATCTGTGATTTGTCATTCAACCCAAATGAATAAACTCCATCATTGGTTAAAACAAGGTTTGAGTAATAATTGGCATCAAATTGAAGGATATCAAGACCATCCAATCCTTGAACAGGCAAGTTATATAACATTCTTGAATCAGTGTTGGTTCTTCCCAGATTTCCATAAGAAGGAATACCTGTAGAGTACAACTTCCCATTTTGGTTTAGTACTAACACGTGTTGAAAACCGACTGAAATACGATTTCTAATTCTTCTCACTGGGTAAGCAGTTAGATAGTTTGGAACAATTGCATCAACTTGGGTAATATTAAGATCATATCTATGTACCTCTTTTGTTGTATTTTGATACTGATCCACAGTGTAGGCTTTTTTTGTGAACAACTGCTAATGTTAAATATAAAAGACAAACAATTAATACTTACAGCTACAAAATTTTTGATGTTATCACCAACAATATTAGCAGAGTTTTGGGTCAATGATATCAAATTCTTCAACTCCAATTCCAAGCTCATTACACTTTGCAATTGAGTTTGCTTATTGGCTAGCATGGTTGTAAATTGATCCGAGGTAATGTTGAGAGCAGCCAGGTATGGACCAGAAATTTCAATAGCTTCCTTTGTATCCAACAGCTTCTTCTTGGTGTTTGCGTCTGAGAGGTCAGATTGCTGCTTTTGCAATACGCTCAACACTTCTAAAAAATCATTTTGAAGAAGTTTTTGAGCTTTAAGGTTTTGCACTTGTTCTGTTGTTGCTGAATTTTCATCCTGAGCATTAACAATATTGGTACAAAGATTAACTAGTCCGTGTTACATCTTCTTGTTGATTTTACTACCTACCTGTAATTAATCCTAAAATAAAAACAGCCAGTATTGCAATAAAAAAATTGTTTCTTGCCATTCTACCGGAACACGCTTGATGTATTTTCTTTCTGTATGTAATAAATCACTCTGGTGTTACCCCTTTTACTGTGGCTGTACAGGTTTACTGTATCTCTACAGTTTATTTACGGCGTAAATCAAGCTGTTGTTTGCAAACTTTGCTTCCTTCACAACAAAAAATGAATGATATGAGGAATACAGGTTTTTGTTGTGGTGCCAAGGGTGATGATCTTTGCCCAACAACACCACATCTATTCCGCTTTTTATCTACTAGAAATATTTGTGCAATAAGATTTGTATTTATAGTCTTTCTTTTCTTGATTTATTGTACATGCCAAGTTAGCTCCTTCAGTTGTTTTGGTGTTCATTCATCGGATCTTGTTAATGCCTGCTCCGGTAACGGTGTTTGTATTGGTGAAGATTTATGTAGTTGTTCCCCAGGCTTCGCCAATACAAATTGCGAAACTATTGTATGTGGTGGAATGTCTGAAGGTGCTCCCGGTGTTTGCAGTGGCAATGGTGTTTGTATTGGTCCTGAAATTTGTCAGTGCAATCCTGGCTTTTCAGGTGTGTTTTGTGAGTCTCTTCTGCAATCGACTGCAAGTACTTGCCAAAAAGATTTACTAGGCAATTGCCCTTTGTCTTCCTCTAGTTCAAGCGTAATCGCAACTTTAGGGACATCTCAATACTCTTACCAATCACCTATTTGTTCAACAACAAGTGAAATACTTAGCAATCCTCAATGTACAGAATTACAAGACGATATCAGCTATGATGTAGATGCTGATTATGAAATGTATTTTAATTTTGACAACCTTACCAATATTGGAGGAGTTCAGTTCGTTAGAGAAAAAACCAAACCACTCCAACTAGCATCAAATGGTATTGATTTGGAGTCTAACGTGGTAAAAAAAGGAAGATCTTTCAAATTTGGTTTAACCGACCAAAGCTACATCCTTCTAGATAGAACACCATTTATTGAACTGAAAAATAACTTTACATTGAGTTTTTGGTTACAATTGTCAGATACATCTTATTTGTCAACAGATCAGTTTATTTTATCTGTAAACTATACAGTAACAAAATGGAACCTTATTCTTAAACTGTTAGAAGGAAGTCCTGAGCTTTGTGTCAACGTTGATGGAGTTGAAATTTGTGGTTCACGTTGTTTTGACACTGTCGAGAAACTAACTAGCTCTTTTAGCCATGTTTTTATTTCCAAATCTTCTGTTACTGGATTACGTATTTACATCGATGGAAAACAATGTTTGCAAAGGGTAGATATAACTGGTTCCTTTTCGTCAAATACTAGACCCAGTTCCTCTAATTCTCAAAGAAGCTCTATTGGTTATGATTTAAATTCTATGTCTGGTCAATTTCATGGATATCTTGATGAATTTTATGCTTTCTTTTATGCTGGGGTTGATAACCTCTCAATTAACCGTTTGCTAACGAAGATGAAATGGAAAGGTCATGGTTGCCATAATTCTTTGTTTGTTAATAACCCAGATTTGTGTAGAGGAGGTGAATGTGTTGGGGAGTACTTGTGTGAATGTCTTCCACAATACCTTGGACCTGATTGTTCAATTTCAACTTGTTTTGGAATACAATCTACCCAACAAGCGGTTTGCTCTGGATTTGGTACTTGTGTTGACACAGATTCATGCCTCTGTGACAATCTCCATTATGGTAACAATTGTAGTTTCTTGCTCATCCCAACTACAGTTAACCAAACAATATTTGGAGATAGTTATACTCTCAAGTGGATGTTCAATCGCAAATACTTGCCTTACAACGATTCTTTGGGAGAATTAAGAGGTAATTGTAATTTTTCTATGGTTGGAGATGTGCAAAGTGATATTGGTGGTTTTCTCAAACTAGACGGAAAAAATTTCATTGACATATCCGGCAATAACTCTCCTTTCAGACATTTAAGAAATAATTTTGTGTTGAACCTTAAAATTAGATCTTCTACGGTGGCACAATTTATTGAAACAATATATCACGAAATAATCCATGTTTCTGATGGTTCATACTGGAGATTATTAATGTCCAATAAGAGGGAGTTTATTTTCCAATCAACAAACCACAATGCAAATAATGCACAGGTACAAATTATTACTCACAAATCTGAGTCAATACCTCCAAAAAATGATGAAATTGGCGATTATGATATTTACATCAAGAAGAGCTCTTTGGATGGCTTAACGATTGAAGTCAATGGTAAAATTGCAATTTATGATTATAAAAGAGTCGAAGATTTTCACAAATTGGTAGATCCGAGTATTGAGGCAGATAACTCCACAATTGGGGTCAACCCTCAAACAAAAGGTAATTTCTTCGAAGGTGTTCTGGACAGGTTAATAATTTGGAAATTCAATTCTTCATCCATTGTGTTGAGAGATATTGAACGAGAATGGCAATGTCAAGGAATAGAACAAATGGAAGCTGATAAGTACTGTAATTACAATGGTATTTGTATTGGTTCTGATGAGTGCAGATGCTCTGAACCATATCATGCTACAGTTTGCGATTTCCCCATATACACTTGTTTCGGAATTAATGGCAACAGCTCTGATGTTTGCAGTGGTAGAGGTAAATGTGTTAACTACGATAATTGTACTTGTAACCCTAACTATGAAGGTTTAGAATGTGAAAAACTGTTGGAGTTGGACTTGAATGGTTCCAAGCCAATTTGTCCACTAAACTTACAGGGTGGTTGCTCTCAACAATTCGATGATAGCCAATCTAGTTCTGGTTACTCACTAGGTGGCACATTGCCTTCCTCATCCAATGACCCCGTACCTTGTCAATCTGTTGGAGATTTTCTTACTGCAGAATTTTCTGTTTGTGCCTTCTCTTTTGCCAGAACTGATTTTTATTTGAAGTATCTAAAGGAAACCCAAAGATCACCATCTAAAATTACTTTTTATGATTTTAATAATCCTATCTCAACTGGCCCAAATAGAATGTACTTTTTAGACAAGAATTACAACTTCACTTCTGTGTTTTACAATGCAAGCTACACCAACAGTTTTTTACCTGGTGGGGGGAGTGCTTTGCTCCTTTCTGGCCAATCCTACTCTGTATTCTCAGGATACTCCATGTTCACTAGCCTTTCGAATGATTTTTCTGTTGCCTTTTGGCTTAAGATGAATGTATTAGGTTCTCGCCAAACCATTGTGTTCAACGATGATGATACAACATGGGAATTATTTGTTGACACTGACAACATTTTGAAACTAAAATTATATGACGACTCAGTAATTGTCTCACAATATAGTGTCAGCACTTATCCTTTCTATTTGGCCCTTGTGAAAAGCTCGTCTCAAGGGTTGAAGCTTGTTGCTAATACAACAGACGTGTATATTAATTCTACTTTTACCTCAAAGTTTAACAAAAGACAAAACCAAACACAGAGTTCTACTATTGGTATGAGTATCAGAGGTGACAGTTACCTTAATGGACTTGTAGACAATGTTGCTATTGCCTTTTTTGACTATCAGGATTATCACCTCAAAAAAGGTTTTTATAGTGCTGTGGGTTGCCATGGAGATAAAAACCCAACAGTTTGCAACAATAGAGGCATTTGCATCGGTGAAAGCTTGTGTGAATGTAAAGATGGTTACTCTGGAGATAAATGCGAAAATACAACATGTTTCGGAATAGGTAGCAACACTTCTGAAGTTTGTAGTGGTCACGGACAATGTGATGGTCTTAATAACTGTACTTGTGATTTTGGATACAGTGGGTCCAATTGCGCAATCAAAGACACTATTTTTGAATCCATAATCGCAACATACGGAGAATCGTTCAGCTTGCGTAATATATTCGACAACAAATATATGTTAGGTGCTGAGGTTCGAGGATTGGATGCAATGTACAATTTGAAAGACTATCAATCGGCTAGTGATAATAAGGGCTGCTTGAGGGCAACACTGGCAAGTGGTAACACTAACTCACCATATATCATTCTCTACAATAATTTCCAAGTTACTGTTAGGGTGTTATTTTTCACCTTAGATGGAAACCAAACTTTGCTAGACTTGAATAACATTGCCGGTTGGAAACTTTCTACTAATGGAAATGATTTAATATTTGAAACTAAGCAAGGATCACTCAAATCAAAAACTATTATATTAGGCCTTTCTCTCATTTTACCAAATCATTTATACGAATTTCAAATTACCAAATCATCAGAACGAGGTTTAACTATTTCTATTGATAGTAATGTCATTTTTAATGACACTACCATTACTGAGGATCTTGTTACCAACACTAAGGGTGAAAGTTATGTTGGCGACTTGGCATTGGAAGGCTATATTGAACTTCTTTGGTTTTCCTATAATATGACTGAAGAAATATCTTCTCTTTGGTATTGTAATGGTATTAGATATGATAGTCCAATTGTTTGTTCAGGAAAAGGATTATGTTTAGGTAGAGATTTATGTGAGTGTGTTTATAGTGAAGGTAATAATTGCCAAGTTCCTTTTTGCCACAACGTCTCGGCAACTAACGTTTCTGTTTGTTCAGGCCATGGTGATTGTCATAGTACCGATGAATGCAAATGTGACCTTTCTTTCACAGGATTGGAGTGTCAAATCAATAATGCAATTTTATATGTTCACAATGAAAATGGAACTGCTGTGGATAGTGTAGATCCTCAAGCGTTTTTTATCCATAACAACCTAAGTGTGATAAACGAAACTGGAGCTTATAATCCAATTGAGTTTCCAAATGGCTTTGTAAAACCTGATACTGTTGTAGATCAAACAGTTCAAGAATGTTTATCCTCTGTCGCTCCCAGTGCAGCTTGTAAACAGCTAATTCTTGATGCTCACATAACAGCAAATACAACTTATAATATCACAGTATGTGAAGAAGGCTATTATCAAGACCCTAATGTTACCTATAGATGCAAGCCAATGTGTTTTGGAGTTAAACAGGAAGATCATAATGTTTGTAGTGGGCATGGAAGTTGTAAATATAAGAATTTTTGTTTATGTTATTCTGGCTTCCATGGTCACAACTGTCAAATTGATTCAAACTATACAAATGCTGCCTATGAAGAGCTGTCCACCTGTGGACAAGAAACCTATTCTATGGGTTTTGCAATTTCCTCACAAACAAACACTTCTCTTCATCAACTTGCAGCAAATGATAAATCAATGTTAGATTCAAATGTTCCTTGTGCTTTAACAAGAAGGACAGTGAATGACTTTGCAATATCTTTCAAGATTTACCTTACCAGTATAGACAATACTGTTAAACATATTATTTCAATCAACAATCTTGCTAACTGGTTCCTTTACTTACAAGGAACTAAACTATATATAAATGGAACCCAGACAAATTTGGTGCAAGAGCAAACGCTGTTGACACCGATGATTGAAACTTTAGACAAATGGTACAAGATTTTGGTTGTTAAATCAAGCTCTTTAGGTACCAGAGTGTACTTGGATGGAAAGTCTACTCCAGATTATATATTTGAACACTATGATGATTACATTTCTGTGAACGAATCTCAAAACACCTACAGTTCTGTTGGTTTTTCTCCTTCTCATGGTTACATAGACGAGCTCATGATTTTTGGAGTTTACGGAATGCAAGAGTCTGAAATTACCAATATTGCTGCAATTGGAGGTGCTTTCAAGTGTAACGGAATTCACATGAATTCGACAAAAGTATGTAACGGAAATGGTGTTTGTAACGGCTTTGATGTTTGTATATGTAACTCTAACTATTCAGGACTTTCTTGTTCTCTTCCAATGTGTTTCAATATAGTTAGCAATGATGCCGGTGTATGTTCAGGACATGGTGTTTGTATAAAGCCAAACATCTGTGAGTGTAATGTTGGGTTTGTAGGGTCTAAATGCCAAACTGAACTAATTAAGTCAACATGTACAGATCCAGAGGGTAATTGTGCTTCCAACAATGCCACTAATTACATTGCAAGTAAGGGCTTGAATTTTACCTCCAGCTCACCTGATTGCAAAAATAGTCAAGACATTTATGCTTGTGGGCAAACAATGTTGGTTGGATCTCCTGTTTTTAGCAATGTCAGTATTTGTAGAGAAGGATATTATGGATCAAATTGTTCCTTACCAATTTGTTTTGGTGTTAAATCAGAAGATCCACTTGTTTGCAATGGAAATGGTAATTGTACTAAGCCTGATTTTTGCAAATGTTTTGAATCCTCCATAAGCGGACAAAACTGTGGTAATAATGCTACCTTTTTACAAGAATTATACACTATTCAACAACTTTTGAAGGCCAACGATACCAACTATTCTTTCAGACTTAAACTTAGTTCGGACTTTATGTTCACTACTGCTGACAAGAAATATTTGCAAGAACTGGGCGGTAATATGACTATCCAAATCAATAACCTTGTTTTGAATAATAATTCAATTTCTTTCCGTAATGGTACTGAGGTCATAATGCACACAAAGACAAACATTACCCCTTTATATCTATTTACTAATGACTACTATATATCTTTCAAATTGATAATTGAAGAATTTACTGATTACAATCCTATCATGAACATTACTAGTGGGGCTTCATTTAGCATATATCTAATTGGAACCACATTGGTTTTTGAAGGCCATACAATTGAACTTTCCCCGTTCATTATTTCTGTTCATGGAGAAGTTGAAGTTGAAAATCAGATATATTCAATATTAATAACCAAATCAACTAGCACAGGTACTCAAGTATTTGTTAATGGGGTATTGAGGTATTCTACTCCATTTAGCTATGACTTTGTTGTTACTTTACCCCAACAAAATGCTGATAGTTTTATTGGATTTGACATTAAGGAAGGCCATAAAATAAGTTTAAATGGCTATATTGATGATATTCAAATCGGCAGCAACCTCGGATTATCCTCGGTTGAAGTAGCTAATTTACTCAGAGAGAATAAGGGACACTTCTGTGCAGGAATTTACTTGACATCCCCTCAAGTTTGTAATTCTAATGGTAAATGCTATGGTAATAACGTTTGTGAATGCAACAGAAACTTCACAGGATCAAATTGTGATATTCCAGTCTGCTTTGGTATTTCCGCTGACTGTTCTCAGGTTTGCTCTGGAAATGGACACTGTGAGAAACCAGGTTTTTGTGCTTGCAAGGTTGGATATGCTGGTGAACAATGCCAAACAGATCTAAGTGCAACAACTTGCACAGACGTAAATGGTGATTGTTTTGCAAATGACCCAACAAAGTATTTTAGAACTCGAAAATATATTAACGAATACGATTGTTCCAATCCACAAACTGATACAGAAATTTATCTTTGTGGTGGTAAATCTGTTGCGTTACCTTTATTGCCCGGTAACCCTTGCCCACGAGGATATTATGGATCAAATTGTTCTTTACCAATTTGTTTTGGTGTTAAATCAGAAGATCCACTTGTTTGCAATGGAAATGGTAATTGTACAAAACCTGATTATTGTCGTTGTTATAACTCAACGTTCTCTAGAAGAGATTGTGGTGTTGATAACGAATACATTAAAGAGTTGATTAAAATCCAGTACAACATGAGAACAGAATATCCTGACTATAGTTTTAGATTAAAAGTTAGCCCAACATTTGTAAAAAATACCACTTATCCAAGCTCTGGCAGTCAAAAGTTTAGTACTCGAAGAAAATTGCTCGCTGTTGATACAGACACTGCTGTGCTAGAGGAATTGGGTGGATCTTTAAAGATTACCGTTGTTGACATTGTTGTCTCTAATGGTACAATTTCTTTCGAAAACGGAAGTGGTTTAATCATCAGTACATACAATACTATTTCTCCCTTATACACGTACACCAATGATTTTTACATTTCCTTCAAGATTGTGGTTACTGAATTCAAAGACTACAATCCAATAATGAATATTACTAGTGGGGCCTGCTTCAGTATTTACTTGATGGGCACAACTTTAGCCATTGAAGGCTTGACTGTAGAATTCCCCTATCCAATAGTACAGCTAGTTCCTAATGGTATTGAATTCACTAACATTGAATATTCTGTTTTGATTATGAAATCATTTGAAGACGGAACTCAAGTTTATATTAATGGACATGAGGAGTACAATAGTGTTTTCAGTTACAGCTTTTTGACCTCACTTTCTAACAAAACTGCCAATAGTTATGTTGGTATTGATTTTAAAGATGGTAACAAAATCACATTTTCTGGCACTATTGATGATATCCAAATGTCCAAAATAGGTAGTAATAATTACTCACAAATATTAGCAATTGTGAACGACCAACTTGCTTACTCTTGTAATGGTATTTACTTGACATCACCAAAAGCATGTAATAGCAATGGAAAATGTTATGGTAATGATTTGTGTGAATGTAATGGGATTTATATTGGTAAATATTGCGACATACCAGTTTGTTTTACTGTCCCGGCAACTTTACCTAACGTTTGTTCAGGAAATGGTTATTGTGAGAAACCAAATCAATGTTCTTGCAAAGTTGGTTTTATTGGTACACAATGTCAAACAGACCTTTCTATGACAACATGTATGGATCCTGAAGGTAACTGTACAACTATTAATACACCTCTTGATCTTGAAATTGATTGTACAAACCCAACAGGTGATAATTTGTATCTTTGCTCCAAGAAGAATGCAACAGGTCTCTTAAATGTAACCACTTGCAGAGAAGGATATTATGGATCAAATTGTTCTTTACCAATTTGTTTTGGTGTTAAATCAGAAGATCCACTTGTTTGCAGTGGAAATGGTAATTGTATCAAGCCTGATTTTTGTAAATGTTTTAATTCAACATTTACAAGATTAGATTGTGGTGTAAATATTGAATTACTACAAAATATTACTAATTTACAAAATGAATTGAAACAAAACCTTACTAGTTTTAGACTTGTTATTGATCCTCTTTATATAAGTGAACCAGACATTGATGGTAATATGTATATTGAAGAGCTTGGAAGTGAAATGAAGGTACTTGTAAAGAATTTGGTAATTGATCAAGATAACATAATTTCATTCAAAGATGGAACTCAAATAATATTGAATACCAACAATGTCATTTCAATTCTTTACTTATTTACCAACAACTTTTACGTTTCATTCTCAATTTCACCAACAGAGTTTAAATCATACAATCCTATCATGAACATACAAAGTGGTGCCTCTTTCAATATTTATTTGACAGGAACGACATTGGTTATTAAGGCCAGTATTTTAGATTCTCCTCTTCCTTATATAATCTCTGTACCAAATGAAATTGAGTTAATAGGTCAGGTTTATGATGTATTCATAATGAAATCAAAATCAATGGGGACACAAGTATACATCAACAACAAACGTTGTTATAATAGTGTTTTCAGTTATGATTATATTGATACATTGAATCAAAATAGAGACAGCTACATTGGTTTTGATATTTTGGATGATGGATCCACTATTGGATTTTCAGGAACTTTAGATTTGATTGAAATTGCACTCAATGATAATCTTCCACCTATTGAAGATCCGCAATATCCTCCAAAGAATGACAAATCTTTCACCTGTGCAAATATATCTATGACCTCACCAAAAGTTTGTAGTGGTAATGGTAAATGTGTTGGTTATGATAATTGTATCTGTAATGTCACTTACATTGGTTCAATCTGCAATATTCCAGTTTGTTTTAATATTCCTGCCACTTTTTCTAAGGTTTGTTCAGGAAATGGTTATTGTGAGAAACCAAATCAATGTTCTTGCAAAGTTGGTTTTATTGGCACACAGTGTCAAACAAATGTTAGTATGGCGACATGTACCAATCCTGAAGGTAAATGTAATAATACAAAGATTAATGGAACTCTTGATCTTGAAATTGATTGTACAAACCCAACAGGTGATAATTTGTATCTTTGCTCCAAGAAGAATGCAACAGGTCTCTTAAATGTAACCACTTGCAGAGAAGGATATTATGGATCAAATTGTTCTTTACCAATTTGTTTTGGTGTTAAATCAGAAGATCCACTTGTTTGCAGTGGAAATGGTAATTGTACCAAGCCTGATTTTTGTAAATGTTTTAGAAATTCTATTACGGGACAAAATTGCCAAAATGATGCAAATTATCCAGAAAACGAGGTGATGAGAATTACGGAAATACCGAATTTGACACTCAACAATTTTACCTATTATAATTTTACATATGAGAATACCACAAGTGGTAATTACACATATACTAATTTAACGATCAGTAACTTTACAAATAGTAACTTTACAAGTGATAATATTACAATTGGTAATTACACATATACTAATTCAACAAGCAGTAACTTTACAAACACTAACCTTACGAGTGATAATATTACAATTGGTAACTTTACAAATAGTAACTTTACAAGTGATAACATTACAATTGGTAATTTCACATATACTAATTTAACAATCCGTAACCTTACGAGTGATAACATTACAATTAGTAACTTTACAATTAGTAACTTTACAAGCAATAATATTACAATTGGTAATTTCACATATAATAACTATACAAATAGTAGGGGCAATTTCACATTTGACAATGTTACAAGTAGTAACTTTACAAACAACAACTTAACCGCAAATAACCTTACAAAAACTAATCTTCCTGACAGTAGCAATAATACAATTCCGTACATCAGGTTTATGCTTCACAAAGCTTATTTAGACGAAACTGGTAATTTAGTTGAACTTAGAAATTCAACAACTGTTCAAATTTCAGGCTTGTCCGTGGATAGTGCCAGCTATATTGTTCCCAAACTTGCAAAAATGGACATCCCAACCTCAAAACTGTTTGTCCCATTCATCAACGATTTCGTTATTTACATAGATCTGACAATTGACAGTTTCGAAGCAATTAGTCCTATACTTTTCGTTTCTGATGTTGCAGCTTTTAACATTTACTTGCTTGACCGTGTGTTGTTTATTGAAGGTAATACCAAAGAGTTGATAAAACCTGAAGTAATATCAATTCCATATGTAATAGAGGTAGAACATGTGCCCTACTCTATATTAATCACCAAATCGTCCATAAGTGGTACATCTGTTGTTGTAAATAATAAGGAAGTTTTCACCTCTGTATTCAGTAGAGACTATAAGAATACAATGGCAGGTAAAGATATGGGTGCAAGAATAGGCTATAACTTTGTGGATGGAAAGGAATCACATTTTATGGGTCAAATACGTAAGATAGTTGTTGCTTCAACACCACAATCACCAACTGACATACTTGATAGAGCATTTACTTGTGATGGTACATTTTTACTTGAACCATCAGTTTGTAATGGCCATGGTAAATGTTATGGTTTGGATGTTTGTTCCTGTAATTCTAATTATACTGGCTCTAAATGCTCTACTCCAGTTTGTTTTGGTATTGCTTCGGATGATAAGAGAGTTTGTTCTGGTAAAGGACTTTGTGAGGCACCTGATACATGTGCCTGTAATCCTGGATTTATTGGAGCAAACTGTTCTATTGATGTTACAAACACTCTATGTAAAGGAAATCCTAATTGTACTCTAGATGATCCAAGTAACTACTTGAATAAGACTAACAATGGAACGATAGAGGTTGGTATTGATTGTAACAATACAAAAACTACCGCTGAAGCCATGTTTTGTGGATTATCGACAAACCCAACTGCAAAGCCAAGTGTGGTCAATACCACTGTTAACACTTGTAAAGTTGGTTATTATGGAACTAACTGCAAGTACCCAATATGTTTCAAAGTTCAATCACAAGATAAGAATGTTTGCTCTGGAAAGGGAACTTGTACTAAACCAGACTTTTGTAAATGTAAAGTAGGGTATTCCGGCAATAACTGTCAAGTTGACAACTCTTACATTGAAAAAATTAAGACTACCCAAACAACCACATTGGAAGAAAATCCATACTATCGTTTGGTTTATACACCACACTCCAAGTTCATCTCTTACAATACCTCATTGGTGGTAAATTCGAATTTGACACACTCTTTCGATATTAATGCCCCTATGTACGGAATATTGCTTGATTTAGCTTATCATGTTAACCTAATGGTGGAGAATCCTTCTTTTGATAACAATGGTTATTTACAATTTGGTAAATCATCTGTCATCTTCGATATTTTGGAAGATCCGTCTCCTTTGACCTTGTTTTCTGATGACTTTAGTTTGTCTTTTGATATTAGACTTCAATCTTTGGGAGGAATCCAACCAATCATAAGTCTCAAAGATGGAGGCTACTGGAAAGTCTTTTTGGATGGGTCTTCTCTTGTTATCCAAGGAATTAGTGAAACATCTCTATCGCCAATTACCTTAACCGTAGAGGATGCCATTCCATACACTGGTTTACTGTACCATGTAAATGTTGTTAAAAGTTACGTGACAACTGTTCTGGTAAACGGTAATCCTCTTGGACTCTTTGGAGGTGTTCCAGAATTCCTAGCCTTAAATCCTTCTTTGACAAGTGAAAGCTTTGTGGGTTATGACTTGGTGAATGACTTGCCTATTTATTTGAACGGAACTTTAGAATCTCTCATCCTTATCAGAATAGATCCAATCAACTATTCTGGGGTGGATACTAGTTTGTTTACATGTTTTGGAATTTCCCAACTTGAAAGTTCTGTGTGCAGCCATAATGGAGTTTGCTTTGGTGGAAATGTATGTGTCTGTAATGGTAATTACACTGGTGAAGAGTGCCAAACTCCGTTGTGTTTTGGTGTTTCAGCTGAAGATGAAAAAACAGTTTGCTCAGGTAAAGGATATTGTTCTGCTCCAGATAAATGTGAATGCAAAACTCCTTACGTTGGATCCAATTGTCAAGTAGATTCAAGTAAGACCACATGCAATACTACTGATGGTGTCTGTACAACTGATAATGCATCAGATTTCTTTTCAAGCACAAATTCAACACCAACCCTGTCCTGTGCACCATTCTGTAATTTACTTTCAACATTACCAAAATTGTCTATTTCCTCTGTTTCGCTAAGAGATGGAGACAGAATTGTTTTTGCTCTTGCTGACCAACCAATAGGGTACCCAAAAGCAATCCTTGAGGACAAAGTAGTAATTGACCGAGACAGTCTCTTCCAAATGATAATCAACAATGCAACCATAACAAACAACAAGGGTGCTATATTTAACGGAGAAAATAGCTACTTTACACCTTATTTAAACTCTCCTTTCAATATCAAAACTGAATTTTCATTTACAATAGTACTTTCATTTGATAATACATCTACCCAAGCCCAGCCAATAGTCTCATCAAATTTCTTCTTGGAAAAGACTCCACTCAATTCGATTAGATATATTGGCTATTTGAACAGTAACAAATCTGAAATTGAAACAGTGGAAACAGACAATAATGTTGTACCTTCTGACAACTCTGTTGTGGTTGTAACGCTTGTAAAGTCAAAGCAGAGAGGTGTTACCATTTATATCAATGGTTTACCATCTGTAAGATTGTCATCAACTACAAGTCTAGTAGCGGTAACAGAAACTTATTTCGGTTTTAACAATGTTAATTCTACTTCCTTGAATGGTTTCTTCAAGTTCATTGCTCTTGTTGCAGGAGGCTTTTCAGATAAACAGGCCATTCAAGATTTTGCTGACTACACTACCTGTTACGGTATTTCTACATTGTCTTCCGACGTTTGTTCTGGACATGGTGTTTGTGTATATACAGACAATTGTGAATGTAAGAAGGGATATGTTGCTGATGATTGCAGCTTGGTTGCCACAAGTCAAGTGTATGATTTCAATAACTTGACTACACAAGGTTATTCGACATTCATAAGAGGACATCTCGTTCAAGAAACAGACAGTCTAAAATCCAAGTATTGCAACGAAGAATTGGAGTGCGAAAATTGTATTACTACAAATGGGTTAAACTCAAATAGAAGTGGTATTTACTTTGATGGATCATCATCAAAGATTGACATTGCCCATGATTCAAACATGGTTTTCTTCCACAACGATTTCACCGTTACTTTGTGGCTGAAGAAAGAAAAGAAGGATGGAAATTCTTCCCAAACAGTTATTTACATGGGATCTCCAAGCTACTGGCAGCTAGTTGCAACTGAATCCATTGATGGATTTACACTGTCTCTAACTGATCAATACACAACTAGATCGGTTAGCAACTTATTGAAATATAATAGATACTACTTTGTTTCTGTCACTAAAGATTCTACCAGTAACGGACTTTCAGTTTGTTTTAACAATGAGTTCTCTACTTGCTTTGTGGACACTGATACAACCTACTCTTGGAGACGTACTATTGATATTCATATAATGTCAGCGATTGGCTATAATCCAAGTACAAGGGAATCATACTTTATGGGAAGCATATCCAACCTGAGGTTTGATGCTGCTGTACTTAGCTCTTTGACTATCAATAGCACCATCTCTATTGAGAATAGTCCTCAAAGTTTACAAAGCCGTTATGACCAAGAAGGTCCTGTTTGTTTTGGAATTCCATTTTCTTCCGATAATAACGTGCAATGTTCGTTTAAAAAGAAAGATGAAGGAGGTAAATGCATTGAGTACAACAAATGTGACTGCTTTAGCGATTATTATGGAGAGTATTGCCAAGACTTTACTTGTAATAATATAATGAACACCAACAGTACATTCGTTTGTAATGGTCACGGTACTTGTCATAATAAGAATAACTGCACTTGCGAAGACTTGTGGACAGATCTTTACTGTTCTAAGCCTAAATGCCATAATGAAACCTACGACGTTGCTTGTAGTAAACATGGTGAGTGCACTAATAATCACACTTGTCTTTGCAAGACTGGATACACTGGTGAAAAATGTGAATATCATTTTTGTAATAACATTCTAAATACCGATCTGATAAAAGTTTGCAGTGCCCATGGAAAATGTGACTCCCTTGATAATTGCATTTGTAACCCTACAAACGCTACAGACCCTAACCTTAAGAAAGATTGGATTGGTACTTGGTGCGAAATTCCAAGATGCTTTGGTGCGTATGCTAACGACACAGCAAAAGTTTGTTCCAATCATGGTGCTTGCATTGATGTTGACACATGTGTTTGTACCAGTCCTTATTTTGGTGATGACTGTAAATTATCAGCAAAGGAACCTATGTACAAGACAATAATTTTCAACTCGTCAATATATGTCGAAGGAAAATATGTGTTTGGAAATGGTTCTGACAATGATATCGTTGCAGTGGCTTACGACAACACTACTGATGGGTACGGCACTGAAGTGACTACCTCCTCAAATATCTCCCTTTCAATAAGACAGGCTGATGTGCTTGGTAAGCTTGGAGTTTATCAACCATTCGATAGATGGTTTTCTAACAATTTTACCGTTTCTCTTACATTCAAAATGAATGGTTCTCCTTCAAAAACTCATACACTATTCAATTTTGCTTGTGGTGCCGATTGGAAATTAGTTTACAAAAATAACACTTTGATATTAAGTTTCAATTTGTCAGATGGTCTAGAATCCCATATCAACATACCACATACCTTTGAAAATAATATTCACACCGTTGCTGTCTCTAAGAGCACAAACCATGGTACTAGCCTGTTTGTTGATGGTACTAGAAAACTAGTAAACTCAACTTTGCTAGATGATTGGAGGATAAGAAATACTGTGTTCAACAAGGGAAAACAAAACACAATTGGTTCGGAACCAGGTGTTTCTGATGCCAAATTGGATGGCTCCTTGTATAGTTTAGAATTCTCATTGGGTGAAGCATTGCCTGATATTTTCCTTGTTCTTTGTAATGGTAAAAGAGGTAATGACACAACGGTCTGTAGTGGCTTTGGAGTTTGTGAATTTGAAAGCACTTGTTCTTGCGATAATGAACACGATGGTTCTGACTGTGAGTTCCATAAGTGCTTTAATATTTCATCCAACAGTTCCAGTACTTGCCATAGTCATGGTCATTGTGTTGCTGTTAACGTTTGTAATTGCACTTCACAATACAGTGGTCCTGAATGTCAATATCCTGTCTGCCACGGAATTCCATCAGACAAGCAAACAGTTTGTTCTTCAAGCGGATTGTGTTCTGAACCAGATGTTTGTGTTTGCAATGACGGTTATTATGGTTCTAACTGCGAAGTTCCAATTTGTTATGGTTTGTTATCCAACCAATCTGGTGTTTGTAGCAACAATGGTGAATGTATTTCTCATGACACCTGTAGCTGCAATTCCACATTCACTGGAAGTGTGTGTTCTATTCCTATGTGTTTTGGTCTCAATTCTTCAGACATACGAGTTTGCAGCTCTAAGGGTGTTTGTGTTGCTCCTGATACCTGCATTTGTAACAACAATACCGATGGTGTCGATTGTTCAATTATAACTTGTGGTGGATTACGTTTGACTCACCCAGATGTTTGTGGAAGAATTGGTGAATGTATTGCACCAGATGTTTGTGAATACTACCATTGCTTTGGTGTGGAAAGTAATGAAACAGATGTTTGTAGCTCCAGAGGAAAATGTATTGGCAATAATACTTGTGAATGTGAAACAAACTACTTTGGAAATAATTGTCAAAACTGGACTTGTATTGTCAACAATATTACTGATTGTTCCAATCGCGGTTCCTGTGATTATGCAAATCACTGTGTTTGTGAAGAAGGACATGTCGGTAATGCTTGTGAAGTTTCCATTTGTTTCAACATTCTTTCAAATGATTCAAATGTTTGTTCTGGACATGGTTTATGTGTGGATAAGGATACTTGTGTTTGCGATCCTATTTATGATGGAGAAAGCTGCTCCCTTCCTATTTGCTTTGGCTTTGATTCCACCCAAACAGAAGTTTGCAGTGGAAGAGGTATTTGTGGTTCACCTAATAATTGTACATGCGAGGTTGGGTACTTTGCTCCAGACTGTTCCCTTACCAATTGTTATGGTGTGGTATCTAATACAAGTACTGTTTGTGGAAGAATTGGAAAATGTATTGCACCAGATGTTTGTGAATACTACCATTGCTTTGGTGTGGAAAGTAATGAAACAGATGTTTGTAGCTCCAGAGGAAAATGTATTGGCAATAATACTTGTGAATGTGAAACAAACTACTTTGGAAATAATTGTCAAAACTGGACTTGTATTGTCAACAATATTACTGATTGTTCCAATCGCGGTTCCTGTGATTATGCAAACCATTGCACTTGTTCAAATGGATACATTGGTTCAGCTTGTGAAGTTTCAAATTGTTTCGACATTCTTTCAAATGATTCAACTGTTTGTTATGGGCATGGTATTTGTAACGATACAGATTTATGCTTATGCATTTCAACTTATGTTGGAAAAGATTGTTCCATTCCAATTTGTTATGGTTTTAATGCTTCAGACTCTCAAAATGTTTGTACTGGTCGTGGTATTTGTTCTTTGCCAGATACCTGTCAATGCAGTGAAGGTTTTACAGGTCCAAAATGTGAATTTACTATTTGTTATAACATTCCAGCTAATGAAACCAATGTTTGTAATGGACACGGAAATTGTACCTATCCAGACAATTGTAAATGCAATGGTTATATCGGAACCAATTGTTCTACACCGGTTTGTTATGGACTACCAGCCACTGATCCAAACGTATGTGCCAAGAAGGGTACTTGTAACGATTTTGATACATGTAATTGGTATACTTGTTATGGTTTATCTGTCAATAATAGCCAAGTTTGCAGTGGCAGGGGTGCTTGTATTTCTAACAATAATTGCAAATGCTCTGAAGGTTATACTGGAGAAGAATGTCAGTATGTTATTTGTTACGAAAAGTATGGTAAGGACGCTTGTAATAGAGGATATTGTGCTGCTCCAAACAATTGCACTTGTGACTATGGATTCGAGGGTATTGAATGTAACATTACTTCATACTTTGATTGTGCCAATAGAAATAATTGCTCGGCTCACGGTACTTGTATCTCACAAGATGTTTGTGTTTGCAGGCCTGATTATAGAGGAGAAAATTGTTCCATTCCTGTTTGCTTTAACAAGACTTTGGCTGATGCTTGTAGCACTCATGGTGTATGTGTTTTCCCTAATGTTTGCTCTTGTGAGCAAGAATTTACCGGCAAGAATTGTGAATATTTTGACAGCAGTAAGTCTTGCTCCAATATTACAGTCAATTCTGTTTCAGTTACTTCCAAATCGGTTGACATTATTGTAATGGATGTAGCATGCAGTAATTTGGTGGTCATATCTTCCCAAAAACTTTCCGAGTTGGGTTTACCTTCATCTCCTATCAAATCTACTACTCCAACAATATTTGATGGGACTTATTACTTTACAGTAATTAATTATGATGATTTCTCAGTTTTAATTTATACACAAATGGATATTGTTGACTCAATTTCAAACTGGAAATACCTTTCAAGCCTTACTGAAGCAGACCAAATTGATAAGATCTTTATTATGGACTCTGTTTTGTATGGTATTACCATTAACACAAATAATTTTACAGTTACTACTATTGAATTCTATGAATCCTTATCTGCTAGAGATATCTCAGGAAACAGTATTATCAAGACAACCCTATACGACAACAAACGATTGTACAATCATACATTCAACAGAGAAACAGTTAAGGATTTGAATATTGTTGTTGATAATACTACTTCAATTGTCTTTACAGCTAGTAATAGATATACCTTAACACCAACCCTTATTTTCTTCGATGCTAGAGTTAGAATCATATCAACTGTTGAATTCCCAAACAAGGACGCAGTTTCTAACGCTAGAGCGCTAATCTCTGCTACTGAAGCCTCAGGTATCAAGATATTGATTGCCACCATTACTGATCAAGGAACAAAGATCTTTATTGCAAATGTTACTCAACAAGATTCCAAAACCAATCTATGGACAGATTCTATGAAGTTTGAACAAATTGCTAATTACCCATCAAGTATTTCTCAATTTTCCGAATACTCTGACAAGATCAGTATTGTTAAAGTTGACGATATTATTTACCTTGTGAATACAGTTAAGAATACATTCATCAAGTTGAATGTAATCAAGAAGACTGCATCAAACATTGGATTTACCAAAAGAAA